AGATCATGAAGATCAATATTTATTCTGAGGTCAGGAAAAAAATCAATCTTGCAGTAAAATGAGTCATATTTAATACATCCTATCAACATAATTAAGTTTATACATAAAAAGTAACATTGATATGTGAATAATGCAAGCCACGACAGGTGAGTTTCCCTTCTTAAACAACTTCACGGGGATAATCTCAGAGGTGGAAAGACTGGAGTGATTTATATGCCCCTTCTCATCAGGTAACAGCCATGGCAAAAATGTACACACCTGAGAATCTCAGTACCTGAAACCAGGCCAGCCAGCCTGCTCCACATGGATAAAATGAAACAAATACGAAATTATTCCTATAAGGTCAGGCAGCAGCAGAACCAGGATTAGGATTCCAGGAATTACTCCCATAAGGGAAATCTTCCTGATCTCTTTCTCTGTTCCAAGCACTAGACATTCTGCTCTCTCTGCAAATACAACCCATTCCCACAACACCAATAAACTTACATTACCTCTTCACACGTTTCTGAAAGAAAATAAAAATGGACAAGAAAACCCTTTTTCTTCAGTGCTCAGCAATAATTGCTTTCTAAAGGCATGAGCAATAAAACCTCTGACATCCAAGAGGTAAAGAACACACCCAGGGTCTGATCATCTTTGCAATTATAGTGATAAGAACAGGGAGTAAYATCTCATCTCAAAAGCCATGAAAAWGATAAGAGAACAACATTTTAAAATTAAAATGATTCCTCAGTGAGAAGGATCCTGACCCTAACTGGATGAACAGAATCTGTACCTCATTCAACAGCCAGACATCCCTTCTTCCCTTTGGGCTTCTGGTGCTTTTGTTTCCAGGAGGTTTCCCTTCCTTGCATTAATCTCCTATTCTGGTGAGTTCAGGGTGTAGAACCGGCTGCACAGTTCCACGGGATCAGTAGCAAGGTGAGTGTCARAGGAAGGTATGTTCCAGAGGCTAAAGTGGCCCCTCTAGAAGTGTGGKAGTCATTCATTCAAGCTACTTTACMCTAAAGCAAATATCACCTCTTGCCACTGTCATCTCCTGYACTTTAACAGCACTTTTCAAATAATTACTTTATTTCAAATGAAAGTTCCCAGATCTTCAATTTTTTGTATTTTCTTTAAAGAAAGGACTAATTTCTTACCTGCCTTTTACAAGTCTCAGCTGCTTTCCTCTGCTCTGTTTAACATGTAAACACCTTTAATAGGTTGAACTTACTGTGAGATGCAAAATACAAGAACTGTCTACATGAAAAACCTTAATCAGTCATGAATTTGGTAAATGATGTCTCTATGCCATCCATATTGAGTGTCCATTACTCCTGGACATAGCACATTAACTGACTCATTAGCTATTTCAAACCATATGGACTTAGGTTTGGGTGGGTTGCTCTAATAATATCCTGAGGTGAGCTTCCTAATTATTGTAATTACGTGATCTCAATCACAGGGCCAGTCACACAAAATAGAGTCAGGAGGCTCTGAAATGGGTGTCAGTGCACCTAGACAATGACTGAGCTGAGCAACATGGCCCCTGGATGTTGGAGCTCCCTGGATACTGCAAGAAGTAATTACTTCCAAAGTTCTGAGGAACTGGCAGCGAGCACGGCGACAACGGAACAAGCACGGCAAGAGCACGGGATCTGCACAGATGCAGGGACACAAATAGATTTCTCTGCACAAAATGGGAAGCAGTCTGAAACTTGATGCCTTGTTGTCAATGCTCTTAATACAGAGATGTTACATCTCTGGAGTAAATTTAGCCATGATATTTTAAGCACCAGTGAGATCTGGAGCAAAGCAGGGGAATTAAATGTGGAAGTGATAAAATGTCAGTGTTAAATACCACAAAAGCATCACAATGCAATGGTGAGAGAAGCTACATGTGCTCACCTACTGTAGCAAATTTAAGAGGCTTTGTGCATGTGACACTGCAAGATTTCATGTAATTGACTGCAATCCTCTATATTCAAGCTTAGGTTTGAGAAGAAAAAAATTAAAATAAAGGAAAGATGGACTGAATGTTTAATGTACAGTGTTTTAAGACAAAGACAGAAACAAATACAGCCTCAGGACAGATAAAAATAGTTAGCTGTCTTATTAAACAGTTGAAGAAAGCACTGATTCCCTGAGACTCTCACCACACTTTAAATGCAGCCCATGATAAACCAGCACAGCTGGTTGCTACTCTCCAGAACACATCCTCAAAAGAGGTGGCAACTGATAGGATTTATACATTTTTACTCTTATTAGTACATTCACAGTTCTTCTATTAGGATTTCTGAATTTGGTAGTAGTCTTAGCTACATCACCTTGAAGAGAAATTGCTTCCATCACAATTAGGCTTTCCTGAAAAAAGCCAAACCCAAACAACAAAACCACCCTCACATCCGTAGTTATCATGGCCAGTCATCACCTTTATCACCTCCCCACACTGCTAATTTGTAACAACTGTGAGGAGGGCAGGTGTGATTTATTTAACCAGCCTTAATGAAGATCAGTTTTTTGGGAGGATTGCTATTTGGTGGATGATAAGCAGGGAGAGAGAAAAAAGCCACCTCTCCAGTTCAGCCCAAGATGAAGATTCCTTAGTCCCACCTACAAAATACATGAAAGTGCTATTAATAGGGCCAGAGGCCATAGTATCAGGTTTTAATCTGAGTAGAGCTTTTTTTCAGGTAAAGCCTTTGGTCCTTATAAAGTTTTAAATATAAATTTTGTGTTTTGTAGCATCTGTAAACCCAATCATGAAAAGTTTGCTAGTAACATTTACGTACTTTTTTTATGGGCCTACTTGTTATGGTTGTTTATTAATAAAAATTTAGATCTAAATAAAAAACTCATTCCAGTACTGGCCTGGTATGTGCAGGAACTTCTCTTTTGGTAACTTTTTTTTTTTTTTTTTTTTTTTTGAGAGATACTAGTCTTTATTACAATCCTGTACAATTGTCTTTGAGGGTTTTAATTATTTTAAGGAGAAAAGCTTGAACATCTTTAACTTTGCATCTATTCTCATTTAAAAAAAAAAAAACCCAAAGGAAAAACTCACAGTTTTTTTTCCATGGCTTGTAGGTTATATACCTTAAACCTTCTTATATCATATGGTAATGTAAAATTGCACAAGTTATGATAGAGCTGTAAGTTTTTAAGATGGTTCAGTATTCCTCAGAACTCCATGAATTTGTAGACTGTGATTTTATTCTTGCTCATGAATAAAAGCTCAAAGCAACTTGTATTTATGAGCTGTAAAGTTTTGCATTAAGCCCTAACCTTTCATTAGATCAATGTATCCCAGTAACGTCCTGATGTTAAAGAAGTATTCTCAATGGTTTGGTGGGGACAAAAGGAACTGCAGTTCTTACTTACTTGAAAATAAAACAAAAATAGGAACGTCTAAACCAGTTTTGTTTCTTAAGGATCTTATTTGTCTCTTATTACTCATTCATACGTAACCTGGTGGGTTTTCTTCTCCTCCATCGTATCTGATTTCTTTCATTTTTTCTTCTGGTGAAACTTTGTGGGCAAGGAAAGATTTTGGAAGCAGGAAGCCCTTTAGTATGTGCTTAGGTTTCAGTTCAATCATGTGGATACCTCTTTGCAACAGATGAGCAAAACAGAAGAACTTTCTTCTTAAATAGAGGCTTGTCCTCTGATTCCCAGGCAACTGATTAGAGGTAATTCTCTTCTGGAAAGATCCTTCACCCAGGTAACACATAAYACTGATAATGGTGATGGTTTCTGTGATGCTAAACTGGGCATCTGTGGTTGCTTTTTAAAATAAACCAAACAACCTCAACACCGCTCAAACAACCCTCCTACAGTGTGTTTTGACAACTGTTGCAAAGGAGGAAAACTATGGAATGCTTTATGGAAATTTCTAATTTGTTCCCTTTATGGGTGAGCTTTCGGCTGGCAATTCTTCAGCTGGTCCCTTCACCAGAGGGCCTCCAAGACTGATTAAGCAGAAGGGGTTGCTACATAAAAGCTTAATTTACTGATGGCAACATAGGCTTTGCAGTCATAATCCGTTACTACTTTCAAGATCACTTGCAAATTATGTGCTTGCTGATCTTCTGGATTTTGATTTTTCTTTAAGAAAGGGACGAGTCTAAAAAAAAAACAAACAACTTAAGCTTTTAAGTTTTAACCCCTCATTTTTGAAAAAGAACTTGTAGTCACAGTGTAGTGGTCCCCACTGGGTGTACGTAGGTATTGTGTACCTGGGTGAACAGACCTTATTAATAAAGCAAAACTTGCACAAGATGATAGTTTGTGATAAAAGCTATGCCCTGGGAGTTTGGGGAATTAAAACTCACCTCACTATATCCTTTATTACCAATTTACAAGGTGATGAGGCTGATCCTCCCCTGGGTCAGCTGCATCTCTCCTCTGTCTGTGCCTGGAAGGAGCCTGAGGTGGCCATTACCTTTCCTGATGCGCTGTTTTGGGGACAATTACCGGTGTTTCTGTATGAAAGTAGTTACCCTTGACTTCTGCCAGGAAGATCCTGAGGGAAAAACGAAGTGGCCTGACTGAAGGGTGGCACCATGACAGCTCTGTGACTTTGCTGTACCTCCTGCAAGTGTCTGCTGCACCCCAGACCCTGACAGCTGAGATTTTATTTTCTTTTCCACCTCAGGCAGTAGACTGTCTGATCACCTACTTCTCTAGGCACCAAATAAATAAATGAAGTTCCTCCCTTGCGAAGCGCTTCCTCAGAAGCAGGGAGAGCAGGAATACCCGAGGCTGAGGCAGATGCGCGGACGCCATCGGACCGCCTGCTCCTCCGTCCTTGATGATCTCCCTGCTCCATCTGCCTCCTCTTCCTCCGTTTCCCTGTTGATCTCCTTTCTCCTGTTTCCCCTCTCCTTGTCGCCGAAGCGGGAGTGCCCGGGACACAGTAACTTTTCGGGCGTCATCTCCCCGCTCCGGGCGCTGAGGGGAGGCGGTGGCGTTGGGGCCACGGGGAGGCGGGAAATGGCGCGCGCCCCGCCCCGGCCCGCTGAGGGCCGTGAGGAGGAGGCGGCGGCCGCGGGAGCGTCTCTTCCCGGCCGGGGCTATCCCGGCCCTGCCCGATCCCCGCCTCGGGTTTCCCCGCGGCAAGACGCTGTCCGGCCGCCCGCTCCTCCTCCTGCCGCTGCTGCGGAAGTGCCCGGCTGGGAAGTTTGCGGCCGGCGACGGGGGGAGGCCGAGGGGCCTCTGTGGAGGTGGGTGAGGGGGAGCGGACTGAGGGGCATCGCCCTGTGTCCCTGCTCCGTGCTGGTGGGCAAAGCACATTGAGGGATACTCAACCTTCTGGCAACGAYTTTTCAGCAAACTTTCTCTTTCGTTTCCCCTCCTTCAAGGTACGATGCCGCCCAAGCGTCCCGGCAGAGGCAAGCTGCCAGTCCCGCTCCCTAAAGATATGATCCTGAAAGACACCGAAGGAAAAACCTGGAGGCTGGGCAGTCAGATCGGCCAGGGAGGATTTGGCCTGATCTATTTAGGTAAARTACCACTGCTAATTAAGAGGGTGACTTGCAAATTGCTTCATAAGTTTGTGAGCTGGATAAGGCCGTAGCTTAAAAACGTTACTGTTCTTTACATGCTGTTGGTGAGCCTTGTTGAAGTGTGGCTCTCTGAGCTGTTGTTCCTTTTCCATTCCTGCTCATGGTGCAGCATGTTCTCCGTGGCCTGTCCAGCTTCTTTTGCTGGATACTAATGTACTTTTCTATGGATCTTGAGGGAGTCAACCCAGGTGCTTCTGTGTCAAAGATCACCAAAAAGCAGTGCTAAGTGATGCTTTTCAAAATAAAAGGTACTTTTCTTAGCCACTAGTTTTGGCCTTATGCCAGCCTCATGCTCTGTAGCACTCTTACAGTTCCTGGAAGTGTTATTATCTGGCCAATAGTAAGTGAGTTTTTATCCAGGAAACGAAACAGTAACAATACTTAGCTGGGTGTGGCCTGTGAATTCACTTCTTTTTAACAGAAGTGAAAATGCTGTTCTGTATTTGCTCTGTCCTAGATAAGTTTCTGTGTTTTCTTCAGAAAAAGCTGCTGCATTTCAGTCAGTTTGTGCTCTGTGAGGAGTGAATAGTTCTGAAAGGCAGTTTGTAAAGCATTCTGGGTCACTGCAGAGGGTGTAATGTATGTTACTGTTGCTGGTCTCTATGAAAGAGCAAATCCTGTGTTCAAGGCAATGTTATCAGCTTGGGTGCTTTGTTTGTTTTTTTTTCATGACAGCATATACAAATTAGTCCATAGTGTCTGTTTGCAGCTAAACTGAGCTTGTATTGAGCAGTAAAGAATTACCTGGAAGCAGTTTACCACTGGAGCCTAGTATGATTTTTTAAAGTTAATATTAACTTTATGTGGAATAATAATGCTTAAAACTTGATAAGCAAGTCACTGATATACACAAACCAACTTTCTTTTATGCATAAATCAGATATACATTAGAGCTATACATACAGTAGCAGTACCTCCAAGAAGTTCCTGCAGTGAAGTTTCTGGTTTGTTTTCCTCTGGAATTTCTATAGTTCACATTATTGCTCACTGCTCTGCAGACAGAACCAGTGGGAATAATAAGGGTTTCAGCTAACTGCAGATACAGAGGAGTCAAAGAGTAAGGCCCTGTTGGAGTATTTACAATCTTTTTTCCTTTAGATATATCTGTTAYCTTATTATGACCACCTTTGAAGAATTAGTTGGTTGCTTTTGAAAGATGCTGTGCATTGAGCATATGAGACATGTTTCCAGGGGAAAATAAACCTAAGAAGTGAAGGTGTCCCTTCAATRATGCATTGCCATTCAAAGATAATGGGCAAGAAGATGGGAACTTGCAGAAGTCTCCCACAGACAGAAGGATGTGAGGGAACTGGGGATGCAATGCAGAAAGCAAAGTTGTAGTGGGTGTAGCTCTCCAAGTGTAAACCAAAAATATTGTGTTCCTGAATCATTTAGAATATAGCTCTGTCATTTCCTGCTGCAGCCAAATCACACTGGGCCTTGGGGATTGTTTAGCATGTGGGATTCAGACAGTTCCATGCAGATTTGAGTTTTCTGCCTGATGACACAGACCACTGAGGTGATTTCTTACATTGTGGTGTTTGTTAGAGCTTGGCTCCCAGTGAACTGAGGTGGAGAGCAGTCAGTGGATTAGCTAAGAGTGAGAATACAATCAGGGACTCCTGGTATTACTATTCTGTGTTTTTTCATAAGTGACAGCATGGCTGAGGAAATGCAGCTGCCACTTTTGTAGTGGTATTTGTGCTCATTTAATCCCTTCTTTCAGGAGATACAGTGAATGTTACCTTGAAGGCTCAGTTCCCTTTGTAGCTCATAAATTATAGAGAAAATGGACATTTATCCCTAAGTATTGACACCGACTGAGGCTTTACATTTTTTTTGTTCAACTCTTGATCTCTCCTGTGTTTATGTTAAAGTATACCATTCAGTAGCTTTTTGGGGCCTTGATGCTATAAAATATTTCAGCTGTTTTTGAGAGCCAAGGGGAGTGAAGTGGATGATAAATCTTTGAGATTAAGATATGAATGCTTCGTGCTGGGAGACACTACCTCTCTCTATGCTGTTCAGACATGTTTTTAATACACCTAGAGCAAGGTGTGAGAGGACCACTAACTTTCAGAGAGAACTTCACCTGGAAAGCTGTWGAGAGGTGGGAGACAGGAAAGTGGAGACAGGTTTGATTGCCTGCTAAGTATGAAGAGCACAGCCCTTTTATGAAAGTAAAGGTTAACTTTGCCAGCTATATCTTTTAATAAGTATTTTTACAGTAGCAGTGTAAAGATTTTGATGTGGTTGTTATAGCTTAATTTCCCATTAAGGGTATTCTATACTCCATTAATCTATAACAATGTTCTTGAGACATTTTACGATATCKCTGCAAAATATATTTACAAGGGGTGCATTTTGTGGAATAAGGTTCTATTCCCTAAATCAAAGCTGCTGAAAGCCATTTACTGACCCTGAGTCCCAGGATGCAAATGCAGGATTCAGAACTTCTAATTACATGCATAAAAGTTACCACTATCTACAAGTTCTGTCCTCCCTCACAAATGCCTTCCTTTTTTTTCCTGATTATTCTTACAATTTCCAATCTGGACCAACTTATTTTGTCCTTTGTTGACTCATTSCTTACCCTTGCCTTTTTGTTTTTATCTCAGCCAGAGTAAATCCCACCAGCAGAAAGCTTACAAACATTGATTCCTCCCACTTGTGGAGACAAGTAACAGAAGCCCTCTAGAGATGTCCTCTCAAGCACTGCTTTTGTCATAGCAAGARCAGTGGGGCTCAGAAACTGGCACTAACTCTTACATTAGAAACTACAGTACAAGTTTTATTCTTGTGTTGCTGGTGTTGATTTGCTYTCAGGCACTTCAGATAGAACTGTTATGCCTTTGATAAGGGGAGCAGAATGAAGATCAGCTGAGGAAGGCTATAGCATTGGTGGTCTCACAAGTTTGTAACCTTGTGGAGAAGAGTGGAAAATTAACCCAGAGTTGRGGAGCCTTACATTCTCTCATTTATCTCTCTGATCACAGTCAGTAGTTAACACCAATCTTTATAGAAATCATTCTCTAGTCCTGTTGCAAGCACTCTATTAATGCACAATTTGGACTGAAAATTTAAAGGCAGAAAGGTCACATGATGTTTTGTTAAGATTTSTCTGTCACTGTGAAACCTGCTGTATACAGCACTATCTATTTGCAGGCTTCTTTCTCATGGAAAGGAATGATTCTGAAAAATAGAAATATATTTTTAAATTTGTATAGACACATTTGTTAGATGGTGCCTTTTATGATAGAGCTTACTGCATTGTAAATGTGTTTTAATTTTATGAAGCTCAGGAAAATAAGTATTGATGAAGTCATAACTGAATTCTGCCCTGCTTGGAGATTAGTACAGCGAGTGGACTATCCATTCCTTCTGAGTTTTTCCCTCACATTTTCAAGGAGGAAGAAAAGAATTTCTTCCTGGGCAGTAAAAAGGGATTAAGTGCATGAATATTGTCTTTTAACTAGCAGCTTCATGAGCCCTGCTGCAGGTGGAGGTAAGGAGGAAGTCTGGTTGTGGCGTTTTCTGCTTTTAAGCTTGGATCATAGTTCAATCTAACTATCGGTATTCTGGGAATCAGGCTGAGGTGTAAAGAGAGTTTGTTTCTGTTTCAGAAACACTAATTTCCATGGATAATTTGTGAGCAGTGGTGTACCTGTGTCAAGGAGGAGAAGCATYGATGAAAGCACACTTGGTCCTACTGTTTGTTCCTTGCTTTGCTTAGGAAGCTGCTTTAGCAATTGGTTCTGGAGAAACAAAGTCCTTCAGCAGTTGCTGAAATTAAAATAGTGCAGCAAATTAATTAAACTTGCAGTAGTATGATACTAAAAGATACATTCAGCAGGATTTTTATTAGCTCAAGGAAAGGAAGAATCTTAATRGCAAAGCCCTGTAATTAAAAGCACAGGTAACTCATGTTGAGGATGGATTTTTCTTAACTTCAGGATGTTAAAATGCATTGTTCTTGCAAATGTGAACTTTAGTGTGAAAACAAATTTGTTAGTAGACCAACACCACTCCAGGATGAGTCTTTTTTTCTGGTTACAAATATTAACAGTACAAATAGAGATATTGCAAGCATCCTGTTTGAAGGCAAAACGAAATCATAAATTTAGCCTGATTTTCCTACCAAGAGGTTACTTAGGGCTGTTTACATGGTACAGACCTGCACCATCTGTCAAAGAGAAAATACTCCTTACCTTTACTAGTTCTTGTTAATGAGTGCTTCCTCTGGAATCTTCTCCCTTTCTGCTTCTTTTTTGTTCCTCTTTGAGTTCCTAGAAGTCTTGGAAAGCATAATTAATTTTTTCACAGTAGTCTAAAGCCTGTTACAAAGCCTGCTTTACTGTTGCACTTYAGTGTTCTGCTACATCATGTGTTGGGGATTCTTTTTCCATATGCTGAGTAATGCTGGGAAGTCAGGACAGCAGGTTTGATTGATTAATTTTATTTATTTATTTGTTTTCAGTGGGGCGTGTAGGTGGAACTTTGCGGGGCAGCTAAGGTGCCTGTTGCCTTACCGAGGGCACTCCTTCCGTTGTCTTTGGCACCTGTACCCTACTGAAACTGGCATTGTGTCTTCTGAGTGGGCACCATGTCAGACCAACAGATGGGCTGCAGCAGAATCTTGCCAGAAAACAGTTTGTGCATCAAGTTTTAAATATTAGAGGCCTGGGCTCCCATCTGAGAGTGCTGCAAGAGCAGGCCATGCAAAGCTTTTCTGCCTGGGGTTAAAGGATGTGTCATCCCTATTCCAGCTTGGAGTAATTAACTTTGAAAGTCAAACAATTGGCTTCCATTGCTGTGGAATACAAAACTTGGGCTCTGGTGAGTCAAGATTAAGGTTTCACAGAAATATGAGTAAGAAATATAGTGAAATTTCTTAACCAGTACTGAATGCTCTTAACTTGGAGGCATTTGGAGTTATCTGCAAAACAGTTTGGTAGTTGAACACTATTTCTCCCCAAATCAGTTTGSTTTGGTCTTGTGGAAGATAGATCTAATGGAGGGCTCTGTATCTGTAATCTGTGTAAAACCCCTCCACATTCTTAAAGCTACCTGGAAGAAGAATCTAGAATAAAACCTGGTCAAAAATATTGCTCAGCAAAGAGTCTATCCTGGGAACAATGCTGCAGCTATAGAGTAACAGAGAAGCAGATCTTCCTTAGGCTGCATTAAAGGTGGAGTGAAAACACCCTTCAAGCACTGAATATTTAGTTTTTGGGAAACAGTGGATAGTGCAGTGTCAGGGAGAGGGAGGCAATGGCTTTGTTTGTTTTTAAACGTTTGCCTTAGCACCCTCCCTAGGGAGGAAATAGTTGAAGTTGTGTTAAAAAGCAAATGCAACTTTTTATTTACTTGTGTACATTTTGTTTTTAGTATTTCTGTTCCTGCAACTTGGATCATTTTTATATTGTTAGATGCTCTRAGTAGCATTCCTCCCATTTGTTACCCATTGAATTTAACAGCTCTTGGCTTGACTTAAGCAGGGGTAGAATTTTTCCAGCTTTTTTTATAGGTTGCCTGTAACTTCAAAAATGTGATATTTTTTGAGATTAGTTTCTATTTCTGCAAAAACTAGGCTGATGTATCACTCTTCAGGATTAGTTAATGAGTGGAATGAAGCAAAAATAAAATAGTAGCAGCTAAAGAACTTTTGGAAATACTTTTATTCGTGTTTCCCAAACAAATATATCCTCAAAATATCCAGCAGTGGCAAAGACACCAGCTGTGGACAGGAGCAGAGATGTTTTTCCAAACTGCCAAATCAACGCTGTTTTCTTTTCCACTGTGTAAACTTTGTCAACAAAACTGGTTCTGTGAGAGCCATTGAAAATATTTCACCATATTCCAAATGTGACTGCCACAAATTAACTGCTAAAACTACAACAAGCACGTTTGAACTGGCAGACGGAATTGGCATGTTCCTCTGTCAGGCTGCAATTGTGCTGTGTGGTTGTAGGAAATGGCAGTTCAGCCATAAACACCMTTTTGTTACTATAGCTTGTTAACATTTAGAGAGCTCCATTAATTAAGGTCGTGGCACTCAGCAACAAAAGGGATGGTTAAAGTGGGTAAGGCATAACTGCTGTGCTGGATGAAACCAGGGAATTCTGGATATGGGTTAATTCCAGGTAAGTTATTTGTGCAGGCACAGCCGTTGGAAATTAAGGCCTAGGATGTGAATCTTACTGCACTGCTTTATTTCAGAGGGCATTTTAAAGCTGTGTGCTMCTCCTGGCATGGTAGCTGTGGGATGAAGGGGAGGAAGGAAAAGCARAGCTGTGCCCTTTGCCTTCTGCAAGTTTTTTGCGAGACTCCTCTTGGCATGAGGTGAAAACAGCCACAGCCTCATCCACAGCTTCATGTTGCACCAGTGTTCCCAGTTAACGGTTATGCAGCCAATGGTTTTGGCTGTGTGCCTGCATCAACACTCCCCTCCTCAAATGGCAGGGGTTGTGCATCTCTAGTTGATAAAAACAGCATAAACTGGGAACTCATACACTTGTTATGCTATTTAATTTTTTTTTTGCAAACATATTCTCGCCATATCATGCTTTTGGTACTCTCTGTGAGTACTTATCTGCCATCAGAGACCTCCTGCGTATCAGCACTGCTCTCCTGCAGAGTCTCTGCTCACTGTCCTGCAGTCTAGCATTTAACTGATTGTAATATTATAAATAGCCATGTGCTACCACACAGAACGAGGCTAGCACATGGCTAATTACGAGTATACAGTAATTAACTATGAGCTAAACTCGCAGGAGAGTATGTGGTAGTGGTCTATGAGGTATGTAATCAGACTGTTTGTTAAACCTTGGGAGCCTTTCCAGTCTGTTAAGTAACTAKACATAGTAATGAGACAATTTTTTGAAAACCATTTATGTTTATTTATGGACAAAAAAATAGTCTGTCTTTTTTCTGAGCTGTGACTGCAGTATTGCTTGTTGAGATCTGAATGGGTAATTTAAATGATGTAGCAAAATGTACACATACAACTTCTGCTTATCTGTAGGGATGAGACCAATTGTCCCAGCATTATCTGTGTAAAAAGTTTAGAATGTTACTCATGAGGAATATTGTGCCTTGTTCCATGTATGTGGAGTAAAAATAATACCTATTCTCCTTTTGTAGACTTTTGTAACTCGTTTTGTGGGTCACCTGCTTCAGTATCTTGTTGAGCTTTGACTTTTCTCTCTTTTTACTCTGTAAGCATTGTCAGTTAGGTTTGGGTTTATTTTTCTTCAGGATGTTCTCTCAGTGTGACTCCAAAAGCATCCAAGCCAGCACAGTGTAAGAACCATGGGGGTGAAACCCCTTTGCTGGACTACCTCCTGTTAATTGCTCTTCTCCATTACCCTGACAGCTGTTACTCTCTTCCAGATTAGCATGAATGAGGCCTCTCTTTATAAAATGTCAAGAAGTCTACAGGGAAGTTAGAGCAGACTCTTTCAAATACATTTAAATTTGGTACTTCTCTACACCCATCAAGCCTCTGTTAAGTAACTTGGAATTGAATTRTATTTTCTTATTCAGAGGTTCTTTTCTGATCTGTGTCAGTAAGGGAGCACATCAGATTCTGTTTGGGTAATGTGAATGTGATTGTGATGTTGAATGCAGTGAAAACATATGGAGTGTGTTCCTTTAAACTAATGTCATTTAATAACACATGTTCTATTTGTGGCAGAGAAAAATAAAACACATAAATGCCTGTGCCTTAATTCCCAGTTCAGCACAGTACTGTGGTAAAAACAAAGTGTACCAAAATTTCTCTTCTAGTTGTTTTAATTTGTGTTCTGAATGTGACCATTACTTGTGTGAGTCTATGGATAGTTCACACCTTCCAGAGTTAGTGTTTTAATATTTTATTTTTATTTTAATGTCATTAGCATGGCAGCATTCACATGGGGAAGTGCCAGTGGGGAGCCTGTGGGTGTTTGGGGTGTGTACACTGCCAGATTCAACCCAGATGCTGAACAGAATTGAAGGAAGATGGCAGCTAAAGGATTTAATTTTAAAAGTATTTTTATGCTCTGRCCATCAAAAAAAGTCAGCTTGGATGGTTTGATTAGATCCAAGTTTACTTGATGTTTATTTTGCAGATAAAAGTGGTCTATTTTTGTGTGTGCTGATGGTTGAAGTGTTTCACACCTGGACTGTTGTTGGTATTTGATCATTATCAGAAGTTTGAAAGGGACACTTATTTCCTAGGAACTGTATTCTTTTTACTTTTTTTCAGTGATGATTCTAAAAGATGATTTAGTCTCATTAAATTTTAATCCCAGTGTAGCTCCATGTAGCTTCAGTAGTATCAGAGAGAGCTGATAGTTCTGTCAGGGTCAGAAGAAAATAGGATTGCATTGTCTGTGCACAGAGGTTCTGTCTCCTGGGCTGTAATTGGCACATGTGGTCAATTACTGTTTTGAAATCTCTACTTGCACTGAGGCACAATCCCTCAGCTCCCCTTTAGGCAGATGGTGGCTGTGCTATCCCTAACTTGGGCCAGTGTCTAAATAATGCCAGAATAGAAATCAAGGTTCTAGGGCCAAATTAATTTGTGATAGAAGAAAGCAGACAATCCTGTCTAGAGGCATAATGTAGGTCAGAACTTTTAAGTGGTGTCTTTGTCACGACAGTAGATTGACAGCAACCAAATACAGTGGTTTTCCAATTGGCTGGAATGACTTTAGCAGAGTCTGTCCTAATGGAATTGCTCGTTGTGGTGCAAACATGCACTGAGGATATCCTGCTTACCCCATAGTTAATATCCAGGAGGACTTCTGAAAATATGACTTAAAATTGCTTCTTTACTTGTTGATTAAAACTTCTGTGTGTTGGTTTTGTTTGGTTTTTTTTCTTTGAACTGTGGCAAAGCTCTGACCTTTAAAAGCAGTAATTCAGACAAAATGTTTACTTTGTTGTGTATTTTTTGGTTGCCTGATTCAATGTTAGTTCAGTCTTTATTTGCAGTTATATCTTGTTGCATACAGCTTGATCTCCATCTCTTTGTTCCTTTGCAGCATCCCCTCAGACCCAGGTTCCTGTAGAAGATGATGCAGTGCATGTCGTTAAAGTGGTAACGTGCAGATCTCATTTCTAAATTATTAACTTGCGTGCAGTTCTTTCTCTTAATTATCTATCCTTATTTTCAGCATTGGTTCTGTATTGCATGCTTGTGGSTTTTGGTGCTTTGGGGTTTTTAATATACTTTCCCTCCTTGGGGGTGTATTTGGCATTTCCATGACACACAGTATTTCCTTGACTTGGCTTTTTTCTTGATTACAGCTCTCAACAGTTAAGTAAGGCAAATTAGACTATGATCTCAAGCACACCTGGTCTGCAATATTTCTGAAAATAGTGTCTYAAATAATGCCTGAATAAATCTGTGTTGTTTATGAAAATGTGTTGCCAAACAACTTTTCTTTTTAGCTACTTATTAAAATTAAATTTCAGGTGACATGGAATATGGGAGATGGAGGGGAAAAAGGGGGTTCGTTTTCTTGGTATTTCTTATATGCTTCTATGAGAAATGGTTGTCTTTCAAATGCCTGTTACGATACCAGGTTTATTTATTTCTCAACAGGAATATCTTGAAAATGGCCCCTTATTTTCTGAGCTCAAATTTTACCAGAGGGCTGCAAAACAAGAGCACAGTAAGTAATGTATCAGCTCTTATTCAGGTAGATGTAAGGACAAGTTTGGGTTCAACTGCTTCTGTTAAGAGCTGTTGCTTTTGAATTTGAAAGCCAACTCATTTCATATACACTGAACCAGTCCCAATTGGTGCTGTGGTAATTCTGGATTGCTGTAGATTTTGTTACTTGGTGTTGTCCTTGTGCTTTGTGATCAGAAGGCAGAACAGAAGCCAAACAGCCAGAACAGAACCAGATTTATTGTGTGCATAGTAATGAATGGACTCCAGAGATAGGCCAGCTTTAGGACAGAGAAAACATCCCAGACCTGGAGTTCTCAGCTATCTTTAACCCAATGTTATGTTTTCATTACTATTACAGTAAGAAAATGGATGARTCTCAAAAAAATAAGATGTTTAGGAATTCCAGTGTTTTGGGGATCAGGCCTGGCTGAGTACAAGGGAAAAAGGTAATAAGATRAATGGTAATTAAGCTTTAATTTGACTGATGACCCATTTTCAAAAATGGAGATTAAGTCCTTTCTATCTGACACAACSTGGCAGTCATGTCTTAAAGGATTCCTCCCTTTTCCATATTTCCTGATAGCTACAGGTTCATGGTCATGGAGAGATTGGGAGAAGACCTTCAAAGAATCTTTCAAGATTGTGGAAGCAAGTTTAAGAAGGAGATTGTTCTGCAACTTGGGGCACGAATGGTATGCACAGAGAGAGAGGAAATTGCTGTGTCTTGAATTTGCTGAGTTCAACTAGAGAATTATCTTGCTAATACAGTTCCTTTAGGTGGCTATTCATTTTAGAATTAAACATCTGTAAATATTAAGTATTTTCTTATGTCTCTTTTTTTTTTTGAAAAGGGTATTAAGTAGAAAATCAAAAGACCCTCCCTACAGACTGAAATTTGGTCAAACCAAGTTTTTTTTCTAATAGGTTAAAACACAGCCCATACACTTCAACTTGTGTGTCTAGACTGAGATGTGTAAGCCTATTCTCATATGTTTCAACATGTATTGATTTTTTCTTTCAGTGTCTGAAGGGTATTGTATTAGACATCCATATTTGTCAAAGTTCACAATTGCATGCCTGAATGCCAAATTTTCAGTGTGTTTGCTGAACACACTGATCATACAGGCCAGGATTAGGCCTGTCTGCAAATACCAGGTTTTTTTTCAAATGGGTGTAGACTGGCACATTCCAACAGAAGATTAAATATGTGCTCCTTTTTAATATGACTTGTGTTGTGAAATACTGTGAAATATTGCTGTCACTGAGCAGAGGTAGAATGAAAATGGAGTAGAGGCAATGGTCTTAAGTTCCAGGAAGAGGAACTCTTAGACTGGATACCCAAAGCATCCTTTTAACCCAAATAATATTTAAAAAAAAAAACAAAACCAAAAACCTGAAGGGCTTTCACAGTCACATAATTGATAAATTTGTAACCCTCTTTGTGCTCTCCAGACATCAGGATTAAGTTGTCCTTTTGTATGAGGGCAAATGTGTTTTTTAATAATAATCCAAGCTATTGTGCTTCACTAAGGAGCTGAAGAATGGTGATGCAGGGGAGATGGTGACATGAAATGCAGGTCAGGTAAGAACTGGCAGTGTTAAATTTATGCCAAGCCTTTAGAACTGATTGAATATGATCTTTCTAAGAGCTTGGTGTTCTTGGCATTTCCTCTGGTGTTTATAAAGCATTAGTTTAATTTTTGTTTTGATTTAGAAACTGGTACTCAGGATCTTGTTACACAGGGATATCTCATGGCAAAGTATGGCTTGGTTATGRTTTTCCATCATTAGTCCAAGCCAAATCTGCCAGCTCAGCCTGTGTAGTCCTTGATTCCCCTAAGTGAGAAATATTTGGTAGTAGGGTTAAGAGCAGAATGGAGAAGATGATGATGATGTTTTCTCCTCTGTTGTAAATTCTTTTCTAGTTGGATACTTTGGAATACATACATGAAAACGAGTATGTCCATGGTGACATTAAAGCAGCAAATCTACTTCTGGGCTACAGCAATCCACATGAGGTAAGCATGATTACTTATCTGCACTTTACTATGTTTATAGCCATTTAAAAGTTTTAAGGTATGTATGTTCTGCTTTAACAATTCACTTTATAAAAGGAGTTTATACATGAACATTCACATCTGCTCATGACATATCTGAGAGTGGCTCTGTGGAGTTTTAAGGGGGGAGAAAGAAGCAGGACAAAGCTCTACTTTGTTCCTTCWCTATTCTGCTGACCGGGATACTGGTATGGATGGGTAAACTAATGAAGAGAAGAATTGACAGGACCTAATTGCTGCTCTAGGTTATGCCAGTTAAGGGATATTAGTAGAGATTAAGGATGTGACCCATTATGTTTTCATTCTTGGAGGTTTTAGCTTTCTAGTATTGCCTGTCCTGCTTGTTGTAGTGGATATAACAGGTAAGTAGGATTAAAGTTGCTATTCTGTAACACTCCCAAGGCCTAAAGCTGGCCTTGAAATGAAAGTGTTTGGGTGAAAAGTTTTGAAACAAATCTTTTGGTCTTGTCATATTCCACATGCTCTTCTGCTGAYGTTTTTTCCTTTCTTCAGGTAATAAAATTTAAGTATGCTTTTTTAATTGGGAAAAAATAATTTAGGAAAAAAGGACATCTCCAACTTCACTTAAATATAATTAGCTGTAAGCAGTACTTCTTTCAATTTTGGTTTCTCTACTGCAGTGATAAAAGAAACAGATCTTGCAAAACAGCTCTCTGCCATTGGAGGTGAACCATTCAAGTATATCTGCTCTTTTTAAAAGCTTCAAATGAAATGGCTGAGTCAAATTTAACTTGTCAGCTTTCTGAAAGACATAATTTRAAAAGCAGCATGGCTGTTTAAGACAACCCTGGGTTTATACAGTGGTAGCAGCCAGTGCGTAATCACAGTTTATGGTGTTCTTCTGAATCCAAAAGAGGAGGCTCTTTAGAGCCAAAACGATCTGCACCATTAGCATAACTCAAATGACTTTTCTTTTGTCTTGGCTATTGTGTATTTTTATGACAGCAAGAAATGCTGCTGTTTTTCACATTGCAATCATTTTGGAAGTGTTCACTTACAGTAATGGTGAAATGTTAGGACTTGTAGCTGACTTAGAATTGGGCAGATTGCTGGGTGATTTTCTGATTTGTTTCACGTGTTATTTGTATGAAGATTGTGCTGTATTTGTAATTTGTTTTAATGACAGTAAAGTCATTGACAAGTTAAAAATACAGTACTTGTGCGTTTACTGGACTTAGGGTTTAGGGTTTATTTTCTAGGGTTTATTAAAGAAAAGAAATCAATAGATAGTCCAGTTTGAGTAGCACCTAACTCAATATGTACGAAGTATATACCACCACTGGGAGATTTGCTGTAGAATTTTGTTTCAGCAAAATTTCTCTTCCACTAAAATTATTCTACAAAACATCTTCAAAAGTTCTCATTCTAGTTGAGAAGTGCTAATGGAGGAGAAATTTCTAGTATTTGCTTGCATTTGTATGGTATGAATTAAGCTTTCATTTCTTAATGTGTGAAGTGTTTTGGCCATCCTCCTCTCTCTGCCAACACAGTGAATAACTTGATTGCCTTGGTCTGGGGTTTTCTTTTTTTTTTTTTTCTTTAAAAAAAGGTAAAGTGATCAACTTTGTCTCATAAATAGGGAGTGAGAGCATCTAGCCTGTGGCAAATTGCAACTCAGGAATACAAGCCCAGAGGCTTGTGGAGCACCAGTGGGAGTTGGCATAATAAAACTGCCTGACCTAACAATTTCTGTGGTGAGGTTTTTCAAGAATTTTATGATAGGGGGTTCTTGCTCTTTAGGGTCTAGGATTTTAAGAGGGAATAAATTGTAAGTTTTCTAGAATTAAAGAAACTTGTTCTTCAAAGAAACCAATAGCTTACTTATCTCTTAAAAATAATATATATCTCTATTCAAAATATGATTCCATATGCTGTTTTGGTGAAGAGAGATAAATCTCTGTTCAAAAAAATCATGTGAACATTTATACTAAGCTTTCTTCTTTTTTTTTTGYAACTGCAGGAAGTCAGTGAGAAATTTACACGTAAGAATACACATCAACAGTTACTAAATGACAGGAAAAATGCAATTTCTGCTGCTGGTCTCTCTCTTTTCTGTAAATTAACCTGGTAAATTTATGCTACAGCCAATAAATAAAACAGTCCTTTTTCTGAAAGGAGATGTGAAATYCATACTGCTCTCCCCTACTTTCTGTGGCAAGGCAGAGAAACAAATAAAGTAAAGGTGCTGTCACTGTGTGACCTCCAAATGATGGTTAGAAATGGGGAGAAGCTCCCAATCAAGTGACCTCAAAGAGCTGCAGATGTGCTCAATAGGAGGCAGYGAGGCCATTCCCTGAGTTACAGGTCACAGGATCAATTCTACAGTCAATGTTTCTGAACACGGACCTGCACAGTGACTGACAAAGCAGCAGTGATGGACTGAGGGGAGTGCACAGCCCATGAATCTCACAGAGGCCTGAAAGGGAACTTGAAGTGATCAGACCTATAAATTACAGACCAGGTGAAGCACAGTATCAGGGCTGTGGAGAGTTAAAGATAATTCGGAGCACGGTCCTAACTGTATGATAGAGCAGAACAAGAAGCATTGGTAGAGACTCTGARAGAAATTCAAATCCATTAATCTCATTTAAATGGTGATTACTAAGTGGTCACCAGACAAGAGCCTAAAATCTGCATTTTAAATAAATAAGATATGTGAGAGCACCTCTTCCAGACAGTCATCTAGTAGTATTCTTCCCCCATGGATTTTATGGGCAGACATGCTGCAGTGTTGCAGACTCAAGTCTGTTCCACAAGTTAKCTGTTTGGATTTTGAAGCTGTAAACTTTAATTGCATTTGTACCTCAGTCCTGGTTTTAAGTGTTTCTTAGACAAGATAGTTACACAATAGAACTCTGACTTGATTATCAGGGAGAGAAAAATACAAAATTGTTTCAGAAGATACAGAAATCATGCRTTGATCTTATGGGAAATAGTTGCATGAAGGCAATTCCAACTTCAAGCTGTTTTTCATTCTGAGCTGAATCATTGTGATTCCCGCTCTTTAGCCTACTGGGACAGATTTCCTAAAGATCAGATGAGTTGAGAAAAATTAAAATATTTTCTTTTCCCTTCAGGTGTTTTCAGGAAGCCTCCAGTAGGCAGAGATGCCCTGTGCCCCTTCCCCTCGCTCCTTTGGTAACCTGCTTCCCTCCTTCCTTGGCTTTTTTTGGTGGAAGATKCTTTTTCTGTCCCAATCACAAACTTCACACTTCCTGTCCCAAAATGCAAAATGGACCTCAGTCTTTTTTGTACTGCAGTGTCCAACTGAACTTGAGAGCACTGTGGCCATTAGCAGTCAATCTGCCTCTTATTAGTAGATACCTACTTAATTATTTACAGGCRTGACATAAGCCTAGGAATGGAAGCACACAAAGAAAATCACTGTATTGTCATCCTTTCTGCAAAAAATCTCCTGTTCTGTCCTTCAAGATAAAGGGAATACCRTGAGAATCCAAAGGGCCAGGCTAATAACTCCCCAGCTCAGCACAATTAAATGTCAGAATGTGTACAAGTTGTAAGAATGTTACACCTTTAGCAGATATTTAGCACTTCAGATACCAAGCACTGTGAGGGTGTCATGCACAAAAAGAGGAAGGCTGGAACTAATTGGCTGCTTGTGCTCACAAATAATTATTTGTGTCTCTGATAATTTGCTTGACTAAGATGGGTGCATTCACATGTGCATGAAAACAAGTGTGAAGACTTAAAAAATCTGGCTCCTGGTCTATAACACATCTTTTAATAACAGACCATGCTAAGCACTGCAGAGTCTGGTGCAGACTGGGATGTGTAAAGAAGAGGAACTTGAACCAGAGCAAGAGTTACAATAAATGAGTGAGAGGGAAGGAGTGTGCAAGGTACCACAGCCAAACCCAGGTGTTCTGGGCTTATGGCCCTGCTGCACCTTCATCATCCATGCTACTATTTCTTATTCCAGTTCTTGTTTATCTTGATTGCTCTGCTCTGTTTTGTTCTYTTCTTGGTCTTATTTGTTGTTCCTAAAAAAGGCATGCAGATGAAAAATATTTATGGTCTTGAAATGCGTATTAACACTGGCTTAATTTTTCTCAGTATTCTTTARTATTCATCTTCTTTGCCCCTTCACTATACCCTTAAAAAATCCACAACAACTATAAACTATAAATTAGCTCCCTCTACCATGTTCTGAGCAAATTTGGAAGGGCATGCAGTGTTACATTATCAAAAAGTGACAACTAGCTATAAAGAACTATGTATCTTTTTAATGATGAAAGGGTTATAATGAGAATTGATGAAATGAAATTAATGGTAATTTAAAATAACACAGTCATTCTGATAATGGTTGTGGCAAGGTTGTAACAGTGCATTGCTGGTTTTGTACAAGCTGAARGGGATTGAATTTTGTTGGTGGCCAAGAGGCTTTGCCTTGAGAGGCTGCCATGTTTGTGGAAAAATTCTGATGTGAAAATTATGGAAGTGATAAATTGCTCAGCTAGAAACAAGCTGAACTCATGGCCAGCTTTTGAGGAAAACTGCTGTATCAGGTGTTAGGATCACCCTGCATGTGAGTGGCTTTAAGAAGCACTTGCCTCATTATTTACAGGTCTCTCCATCATCAGTCAGTGCAGGATAACTTAAAGCTACTTCTCACTTTTAGGGGGGTTTTCAGTATAAATTGAAAACTGCTCTGCTAATACTGCTACTGAGGGTATTTTAAGCAAAAATATTGCTTAAAAATGGACTGCATTAATGGAGTTGCTTAAAATAAAAAAGTACAGTTAGTGTGATAGGATAAGTGGGATTTTTTTTACATACTTCAAGTTTGACTAGCAAATATTTGTTGCTACTTTCTAGGTGGCCTGTTGTTGATGTAGTTTGAGAGATGCTGGGCTGTCACATGGAAGTCTCTACCACATAAGCTGGCATGCCCAGCCCAAACCAGAGAGTTGCCAGAGGTGCTGTGGGTGTATTTTTTTCCCTTACACTGAAATCTCATTTTAATGTAAGGCACAGCCTTAATTCTTAAAGGTATTTTATCTTCCCGTACATGTCAAAAAACCTGTAGTCATGCAAAATCCAAAGCATACCAGAGTCTGGGAAGAATGCACCTTCTAGGCTCCTCTCTCCTTCCCAGCCCACAAAGAAGACTCAGAAAACTTGATATTTAGGGTAGTTTGAGTGAGTTCTCTGACTGACTGTGAGCTCAGTTAGGGCAGTACCAGAKCATCAGGAATATGCAGGAGATAATCAAATCAGTCAACCCAACCAATCTGGTGCCCTGTCCCAGATTTTGTAGCCATCCATGCCTCTGGTCTTTAATGTTGTACCCCAGTTTGGATGGTCTGTCAGGTGAGAAGCATCATCGATAATCTTAAAAGCCATCCCCCTGCAGGAAATGAGTGCTGCAGCACAGCTTATCACGCTCCAGATAAGCTCAGATCCTGCAGCAGAAACTGTAAAACCAAGAGACCAGCAATCCTAGGATTTGAAGCTGCCTGGAGCACAAACAGGAATCAGTAGTTCAACAGAACGTGCTACAAAATAATGTGTTAAGTTTTCTTCAGGGTTTTTTGTTTGTTTGTTTGCTTTTGCCTTTACCAGGAGTGGGATAATTAAATTGCAAGTGAGTGCCAGAAAAGTCTATTTTAGACTTTTTTAGGATAAACTGGTTTTTAGCTAAAGAAGAATATAAACTAAGGTTTGAATAAGATGTTTTTCTTTATCATGTAAAAGATTTAGAAAAAGTCATCTCTGTGTCTTCAGATGATTTAGCTTTTGCCCCAAAAATCCAYAGATGGAGTGGTGAATGTGGCACTATTGCTATACACAGTTTGGGCCCAATTTTTCACACTGATTTAACACTATGTATTAGCTTCAATGACTGAGAGTGAGTTTGTGTCTTTTTAAAATGCATTRTAAATTCAGGACTGGTTTACTAAAATGGCTTTCTGGGGTGGGGAGTGCTGGTTTGTTTTGCTTTGCTTTATCGCACATTTTCAATAGTTGTTGCCAGTAGGAAGTCAGTGGCAGTGACATTCCAAAGGGTGGGATTCCAGTTGGGCCAGTGCCCACCAACCCTGTGGCCACAATCCATGGAGCACTGGAGCCCTGTGTCAAGTCCAGCTGGGAGAAGCTGCTGCCTCTTCCTCTGGCTTTGAAGCTGCACAGTAGAGTTGAATTTGAACAGTCTCAGCTGCTGGAAAATCCAAACAGAGGGATGTGTGTGTGCCTGCTTAAGTAAGGGGAGGAAGGGGTCCCATAAGCAACGTGAGGCTACATAAAAGGCATATTGCAGTTTATGATGTCTGGATGCCCACCTGGAGAGCAGAGAGCTCAGGAACAAAATAAAATGMCTGAAATTCTGCTCGACTCTGAAATAAGATAAGAGTATAGTAGTGGAAGGATTTAAATGGGGAGGGCAGCTGATATAGCCCCCAGTTGTATATATTTTATCCTGAGGCACCATTTGGTTTAATAAAATTTAGATCTAAGGCTGTCCTTAACCTATCAGTTTCTTAAGACTTAATTATAAAGGTTATACTTTCAAAGGACAAAAGCATTATTCATTTGTCTGTTCATGTCTTCCAGGTTTATCTTGCAGATTATGGACTTTCCTACAGATATTGTCCCAATGGGAACCACAAACAGTATCAGGAAAATCCTAGGAAGGGCCATAATGGGACAATAGAGTTTACCAGCATAGATGCCCACAAGGGAGTAGGTAGGTTTCTTTTTTTTATTTCAGATGAGTGATTATAGAATGAGTAATCAGGCTGTGAGAGCTGCTGTACACAGGAGAAGCAGTGTTGGGGATTGCTTAGCCCCTCATGTGGTGACCTCCTCTACTGCCTGGGAATGCCTCCCCAGGGCTGGGGGAAGGGGCTGCATGAGGAAACCTGAGAGGCTCTGCACACACAGCACTGGAGCAGCCCAGGACACCCTGAGAAGAGCTCAACATCAGTCTTAATTGGTTCGTGTTGGGAGGACTGGTTTGTACTTGCTGTATCCTGCAGAGGCAGGATTTGCAAATGTTGCATTGTCAAGGAAGGGTGTTTGGAGTCTTTGCTGTCCTTTAGGGAGAGCTGTGTCTGAGTGTCACCATCTGTGTTATGGGAGGATATTTCAAGATGACATTCCTTCTGCAAGGACAAAAACCTTTTTTGAAGTCATAAAGTGTTAACTTTTTGAAATCTTTTTCCAGTAGCCTTTCATATATCTTACTTATTTAAACTCACTTTGATGGTATTGGAAACACATTTGCAGGTAAATTACATACATAGTCCTTTTATTGGATATTGATTGTACTGCCTTGCATTCCAAGGCAGACTTAATTCAACAATTCCCTAATTAGTTAAAGTCATAACCTATGTCTTGTATTCATTTACCATTAATTAAACCTTAGCTGTTTATTACACTGCAGTCCAAATCCAATAGCAGACCCATAGAGCCATGGAAAAGGGACTGGGAGGTCAATATTGAAAATATATGGTGTAAAGTCCCACTGATGGCTGCATTGTTCACAATCAATATGGTCAATGCAACACAACTTTCTTAGTTGCTATGTCAGCAAGACAAAAAGTCAATTCTAATGTTATGCTAGTGAAAAAAATGGTGATTATTGAAAAACTTTGACTCTTGCTACAAAAGAGTGTTTTTTGTTAACTTTTCTTTCCCCTTTCCCTCCCTTTCACCCCCAAGATCTTCTCAAACAGGGGGAATGGTTTGCTGCAGCCGGCTTGGTGAGGATCGGTGTCTTGAGTGATAACTGCAGGAATTTGTGCTTGTTAATAGCTGCTGAACTGTTACCTTAAACTAATACTTTCTAATGAGTTTTAGTTGGCACAAACAACTGTATATTATTGCTTTTTCTATTAAAAGGACCATTGACCATGTAATGTAGAGGGTCTTGATAATTTGCCGGAGCTGTTAAAACCTGCAATCGTTTAACTCTGGTCATTAGGAAAAATGAAATAAGACTGGCAAGTATTTCCTGCTGCGACAACTGCACCATTTCACCTGCTAAAAAATATTTTGTGGTGAGGAGAGCATCTGTTTTGGTCTCTTCTGGCCTTCCCAAGCATGCAGGATGTTTTCTGGAGATCTGACTCCCTGCTTTGTCTGGTAGTGTGAGCAGTGTGGCTGTGCACTGGTATCTSATGTGGATGCTGTTTGAAGAGTAGGTGGATGTTGGAATATTTGGGATTTGRTTGTTGGATAGTTACAGCAGCCAGTTTGGTAGTGTTTGTTGATAGGCTTGTGATTACAGGACAGATAATTCCTTTTCATTTGAAAGGGTAGGGAAATTTTACAGACTTGGGTGGCAAAAAGTGTGCAGATGGAAGTGTGTGGTTGTTTTGTTATCTGTGACTTAGATAACYTCCTCAGGTAACTAAAGCCTTGATGGAATTGGTTAAAACCAGAACACTCCACAAAACAAAATATTTAGAAAGATAACTGTTACACTTACACTTGAAAAGTGTTTGCTCAATAACTGCAAATGGAGAATCCACAGATTTTTCTGGTGCTCGTGCTGGAAGAGTGTGCAGAACACTATGTGGGATCTGGTATGTTGCAGACCATCCAAACTATTCACATGGAATGCCAGCTCTGAGGTTGTGATRATGTCTGGATTTCAGCTGGGATAGAGTTAATTTTCATCCCAGCAGTGGTTTGGATTTAGGGTGAGAATAACATTGATAACACAGGGATGTTTCATTTGTTGCTGAGCAGTGTGTACCTTAAATCAAGGACTGTTGAGTTTCCCACGCTCTGCACAAGGAGCTGTGAGGGACTGTGCCCAGGACAGCTGACCTGGCCAGAGGGATATTCCACACCATGGGATAACAGAGACAGTGGATAAACGGGGTGGGTTGGCCAGGAGGGGCCGATCACTGCTCAGATGGTGCTGAGCAGCTGTGCATCACTTGTCTCTCAGGGGTTTGTTCCTTTCTTTACCTTCCTTTTCACTATTATTTTTAAAATTTTATTTCAAGTATTAAACTGTTGTTACCTCAACCCATGGATTTAACTTTTTTCCCTGATTCTCCTTCCTGTCCCTCCAGGGAGGGGCAGGGGGTGAGTGGCTGTGTGGTACTTTAGTTGCTGGCKGGGGTTAAACCATGACAAACAGCCTGAATCCATTAAGGTCAAACTGCCAGAGTTTCCCGTTTGCAGCAGAGCTCTCAACATCCCAGGGAAAATCTGCATCTGTAGCAACTTCTGTTGGAGATTGCACAGGTCCAGCTGGCAGAACACAGTGATGGGTTTCCCTCTTCTCTTGTGAGGCTGAGAGTCAGAGATGTCTCAGGATACTGAAMGACTTCCAGCAGCTGGGACAAAGGGCTTGTTTGCTCAGCAATCTTCTGGATTCCCTGCTTGTGGTGGAGTCTCAGCACAGTCTCTCATGTACAAAGTGAGGTAGGGTGTTCTGAAAAGTCTCTAAAGACTCTTGGCAAAGGGAAGCTGCATAGACAGCCTGCATTCTGCTGTCACCCAGCTTTTCAGAATCGAGTATTTTGTTATTTCAATGCTCTAGCAATATCATTCTAATTTTTAAATGTTATTTTGTAAAAATGAGATCCTTTCCAGAGGGCATTCCCTGCATGTTTGTAACAACGTAAGTATCCTAACCCCCTTGAACAGCATCAGCTGCTGCGCTGAGCTGGACAAACGAGAACATTTTGACTTGTTCATGAAGCAGCTGCTGAATATATGCAGCAATTTGAGGGACATGCTGAAGCTTTAACTACATTAGGAATCTGTAGCTTTCAAAAGTGCCTCTTGGCAATGCTTGGAGCTGATACCTTCCTTGCATAAAGCCAGTCAAATGCATTTACTTCCCAGTAATTTAAGTCAATGCCAGAGTTTTCCTGGTTGAATGGAGGATTTAACACAGCCATGTGCGGGGTTATTCCCAAAGCTCTCCATGGAACTCACCAGGTGTAGAGTTATGCAGTCCACTGAGATCCAAAAAGTTTCCTACCAGTGGCCACTGCAGAGAAACACTTTTGTGTGGTGGGACTAGTCCATGATCCTCTGACAGCCTCTGGTAAGGCWGAGTGGGATGTGCCATTCCCATGGCAGCTGCATTGTTGAGCTGTTTGGAGTTTGCTTGGGACCCAGTAGGGCCCAGTTTGGCCTCTGCCACAGGATCCGACCCACAACATTGGCATTCCTGGATTTGTGGCAGGAACCCATCCCAACCTGTGTGTGGGTATTTGAAATTGAAAGCCTTTATATTTTGATGCAAATTTCACAGGGCATGACAGTGTTGTCGGTTTTAACGTCACATTGGAGTGTATTCACTGTATTCATTTTTAAAGACCAGCCCGCATAAACAGTATTGCATTTTGGTTTGTTGATTGATAATTAAAGAGAATTATATCTGTACTCAGTGTACATTTAAAAAATTGTTACACAGTTAGTGTTAAAAAGTAATATTTGGATCAATGCCTCCTATGGATTTTTGTAGATTTTCTTCTCACTGAGGCTTGCAGTCAATACCTAATTTCTCTGGAGATTTACTGCATTTAACATATTGAGGTTCTTTTAAATACTCCAGTCCTGTGCATTGAGTGCGTAAGCGCAGTTTTAATTTGCTATCATTGATGAACATAAGAGTATGAACTGTCTGTGCTGAATTCCCTCCAGCATATATTTGTGTTTGCCATTGATTCCAAGATGAGTCYTCTCCCTTCTCCCAACATTTCACAGTGACTCTGAGCAGTGTTGCCATCTTTCACATCAGGTAGAAGCCCCACTGAAACCTGTGCAGGGCTGATATCTTCACCTGGAGTGGTAAAAGCTGCTTCCCACAGGAGTGGGGACTTTGGACAGGCTTCTCTGTGCCCCTCACATGGGATTATTGCAACGTGTGCCCCTTGAGCTATGTCAGAATGCTGCAGCACTGGGTTTTTCCAGGGCAATGCCAGCCTTGGGCTTGTGGCAGGGAAAGACCTGCAGCTTTTCCCTATWCCTCTGGCAGAGCCGCTCTGTGACATTACAAACACAGCTCAATGCTTTGCCATTATTCCGGTTCTAGTGACTAAAGTATGTGCAGGGTTCGTTTTGTGAGGAAGGATGTACAGGAATATAAACACCTCTGCCTGGAAACACATTCTTTCTGAGCCTGCTTCCAAGGAACTGAGCTTTGAGTGGCTCTGGATTGAGAGGTTGATTTGGCATCTGTCCATGCATAGTTAGGATTCAGAGGGAGCCTGCAGGACTTCTTTTTTTTTTTTTTTGCGGTCAAATGAATTATTGATCTGCTGCGGTTTGATATGTGTTTCCCAAAGACTGTGTACAGGACAAACTGTAAATCCTAAATAATAAAAGGAAAATATAACCAGTCTGGCAAAAAATGGGTGGAACTTTTCAGTGGGAAATAAATAAAATGATGGTTTAGTTCCTGRGAGTTGGATTAGAAATGCGCACCCAGCAGAAGAGGGAGCAGGGGATAGTTGTACGTGAAAGAAGAGTCACTAGCAAGGAAAAGATTGGACAGGCTTCTACAGCCATCTCTGAATGTTTATTCAGTCCTGCCAGGAATGTCCAGAAGCAGCAAAAATAAGATGAGGAACATTACAASCTTGTCACAGCTGAGGACTGTGCCTGGGAATTGGCTGTTTAATTTTGGCTGTTGTCCTCTACACCAGGAATTCAGAAAGGCAGTGAATCTCACAGCTGCTTGCCCACCCCTGCTTGTCAGGCTCTTCCTTACCTTTGTGATTCTTTTTTTCTGCCTCACAGATGGGAAAGAAGAGTAAAACTTCCCACTCTCCTGCCACACATTCTCCTTGCTGCAAGCTTGGAACCTTTTGATCCTGACCAGGTACCAGCATCTCCTGCCACCACCATTTTATCTCCCACCCAAATCTCGTGGTGAAGTTCCCTTGCACCTTCCAACCTTCCCACTACATAAACTTCTCCCCACTGAATCAGCCCTCTTCCTTTCAGCACATTCCATTCCACYACTCCTGATTATTCCCTCCTGGCAGCTCTGCTGTGTATTCCATGCCCATKAGCCATTCCACACATCGAGTGTGTATCTGCAGGGTCTCAGTTTGGAGAGGCACCGTGGCTGGCACAGGAAATGTCACTCAATGCCATGTTCCAGACTGAGCTCTCTGGAAGAGCTGTACTCCAGCTGTGGTGATGCCATGGATTTTTCTTTCCAGCATTCCATGGTGGTGGTTATTGTCAGGGAGTACTTGAGCCATGTGCCAAGCTGACAGTGCAGAGCTGGGCATGAGGAGAGAAGAGGGCTGACATTTGCCCGGAGGCTGGGTGACTGGAATGGCCTCCAAGTGCTAAAATGCATCATACATTTAACTGTACTTCTCTAACCTTTGCCCTGGAGCCACCACTATTCCATTGGCCATTATCTTGCTGCAGGGAGTTCCTCAGACTGACCAGTACCTGGGGGAAGCAATACTCATTATCTGCTTTTTTGCAGGGGGAGGGGTTTGTGTTTTCATTGCTCCTACCCCTAATGGAGGCACAGACTTTTGGCAGGTCTTATATTTATCTGGTTTTTTATCATCTCAGCCTTGAGTTCAGTTGTATCTTAACTTTGTGATGATACATTTTTGTCGTAATTATTATTTACCATGGTCATATTAGCTCTCCTTCTGTTTATGTGGTTTTGGATTACTGGCTGTGGTGKGAGTTCTATTTGTTTGTGTGTTACCATGATCTTGTGTTCTGTGATGCCAGTGAGAGTTAGAGGTGTCACTGCATGGTCATGCAATATGAGCAACCAAAATTATCCTTTTTATGAAAAACTTCTCATTGAAAAAATCACTGATAGTGAAATTATGATGTAAAAGTGCTAAGTAAAAATAACAGAAGATTTCATCTGTCACCCGTTAGATATTTACAAAAGGCTGGAGAAAATCAGCCTAACAGGGGCCATAGAGAGAACTCCAGTTTTACATTGGTTTCAGAGGAATTACAATTTTACATCGGTTTCAGAGGAGCAGTGGAGTTTTGAGAGCATGTTGTGRCTGTTGTGATATCATTGATCTATTTGGAAATAATAATCTGAATATAAATTAGAGTGGAGATAGCTGCCAAATCCAGTGTACAGAGATACATCGTCTATTTTCTAAGGTGAATGCTTCAGTTATTCTGAGTTATTGGACCCTGTGCCTGTGTGTTGAGTATGTTTGTGGTATATTTAAAATTCTTGATTTCATTGATGTGCTTGTGAGTTCATCAACTTCAGTGGAGTTGTTSCTGATTTATCTTGGCAGGACTGAGAACAGAATCAGGCCTTAAATCTCCAAATTAAAAAATTAAACTCTAAAGACATTGTGAAATAAAATACCACCAATAYGTTGCTGTTATATACTACTTCATATGAGACTAAAATAATGGTAAAAAATTCCTGTGAGTATAAAAGCAGAAATCAAACATCTATTAAAAAAGAAAAAAAAAAAAAAACCCAGCAAGTTTTTTAGTCTGCAGAGAAATAAGACAGTTTGATTTAAATAAGACTGGTTGGAATGTGCACTCTTGTAACAGTGACAAGTTATCAAGAAGAATTGTTTTATTTTCACCTGGCTGTTGTATTTAAAATGAAGGCAGATTGATTTCTCTCCGTTGATGTTTATCAGGAATTCCTGTAATCTTCAATTGTGTGAGTAGATTTATTTTTGCAAATAAACATGTCATTGAACTTTATCTATTAGTGCTTTATTTGACATGAAAATCTAATAATTCCATTGTCCGTTGATAATAGTAACTCGTTAAAGATTAATCAAATATTTTTAAACAAGAATCTAAATGATTTAAAAAGTTGCGGATTTTAGCTGAGGATAGAGCAGAGAGAAATAAGCAAGTACAGCCAAAGAATCAAACTGACAWTTGCATGTGTTTCCACAAAAACACATGTAAATGTCTGTGTTTAGCAGCACTGTGGTGACCTGGGAGATGAAGGGATGGGGGAGTTCCTGTCTTCTGTAAAACATTTCCTGTTAGTGCTGGGKAGGGATGCTTTATCTCCACGTACCCTTTTTCTCGTGTGCCTGCTGTGGCTTTGGGCAGGTGTCAGCCAAGGCTCCTGGGTTGCRGTGGCTTTGTCCCAGTGTTAGTCAGGACGTGGCTGGAAGAGCTGCAGGGGTGAGGGAAAGTCATTAGTCGTGGCCAAACTGTGAGTAAACTTTAATCTCTGGGACTGTTTTGTGAGAAAGTTACTTAGCTGGGGGTAACTTCTGAAATCTGATTGGTTTGCTGCTATTTATRGATGCACATCAAGGAAACTCCCTGTGGAAAAAAGCTGTCCATTGAAATTCTGACAGTTTTCCTCACAAGGCCACTTTCTGTAGCCTCTCTCATACAAACAGGTGCCAGAAAAACATTGTGAAAATTAGAGGATCTGCAGTCAAAAATGCTGGCTTATATGGATCTAATCTGGAATTGCCATAATGGAAAAAGGAGTTGTGAACACATGTGTGTGAATGGAATTGTTCCACAGTTACCAGGAGATTTATGGCCAGAGAAATCACTACAGAACAGCAAGTGGTAGAGATTGTGTTTTTATTTTAATATGGGAGCCAAGTCTTGCATTAGGATGTTGCTGAATCCAGTGCAGAAAATAAACGACGCCCAAGGGACAGCGCAGCAGTGTTGGATCCAGGGGCCTTTAATAATCCTGAGCCTAAGAGCAGTTAAGATCGGGAATGTATAAAAACTAATCTGCTGCTTTTACTGTAATGTGTGTACAGGAACAAGGAACAGTTATGATGTGTTGGCACCGTGGCTTTTAGCAGATGACTTCTTAAATTAAAAGATAAGTTCGCCGAGTGACTTTCTGGAATTTATTTAATGAAGGCCCATAAAATATGATATCTGTTTACAGCTGGATTAACAGCACRGTGCTCAGCTACTGGTCTTTACACTGGATAAAAAGTGCCAAACAAATCTGAACTCTTCTTTCCTTCCTGGAAAGCACAAATTCATTTTGGAAAAGCATAAATTCAACTTCTACATGTCTGTCTTTAATCACGACAGTTTCTGGTTTTGCAGATTCCATGTGATTTTGACGTGCAAACTGTAGGCTGCAAATCAAAGAAATCCTGCAGTGCTCCTGCTTGTTCAGTTTTAGYGAGTTTGGTTTCCTCTAAGTGGCAGCAAGCAATAGCAACCCTGTTAGGATTGCGCTTTCCCCGTCCTTCTTTCTTTTGGAAAAGCCAATCTATAGATTAACTTCAGTCTTTCTGCTTAGATGATTCTCAGGAAAGGGGTTAATTTTTGATTTTATTTCATCTCCTGTATTAGTGTTTTGCCTGGGGTGTGCAGAGCAAGAGTAAATTGTTCCTGCAATGACTTCTTTTTTGGAAGCGGCAGTGGGAAGTTTACCCGAGACTTTGCTAAACAGCAAGTGTATTTGGGGTTGTGCACAGCTYCACAGACACTGCTGGAGCTGAGAGCAGGCTGTGCTGAGTCAGTGCACACTAGATGGCAGTTTTGTCCCAGCATCCGAGTTCAAACGGCTCCGCGGGAGAACAGGAAAGGCCATCAGTGTTTAGTCTGCTCTCGCAGAGTCCCTGCATGACCAATGTGGACCCCATGGACTTCCTGGAACATGTGTTAGCAATTTAGCAGCAGACATTTATTTCTTTGTTTTACTGCTTGGCTCTTTGAGAAAGTGTTGGTACTCAGTTATGGGCTGTCTGGATCATGTCAGAGGCCATGGGGATCAAGTCCATGTGACAGGCCAGACTGAGGAAGGATGGAGTTGGAGGAGGTGAGGAAGCTGACCCTCACTTGAGCAGGAACAAGTCACTGCCTGTTTGTGGCCTGTGGCCAAATGCCGGGGCGGTTTAGGTCTAATACAGCTGAACAAACAAAACACTTTGCCCATTTGGCTTCTTCATATTTCATCAGCACCAGTTTAATCAAAGTCTTTTCTATTTCCTAAGAAGAGGTTCCTATTCTTAATTGTATTTTTTTTTCTCTTTCCTCCTCCCCCTTTCCCACATTTTAGCCCCATCCAGACGAGGTGACCTTGAAATCCTTGGCTACTGCATGCTGCAGTGGTTRTGTGGGAAGCTGCCCTGGGAGCAGAACCTCAAGGACCCTGTAGCTGTCCAGACTGCAAAAACAAAGTAAGGACAAACCCCCTCACACATGGACACACCACCCGAGGAACCCTGCAGCATCCTCAGCACTTCCCAGGTCTGCAAAAGACAGCTTTCCATGCTGTGGAACAGCACCTTAGGAGAAAGCTAAAACAATTTTCTTTAATTAAGAGAGAAGTTGGAAGCAGTTAAAATGGGAACTTTATGGGCATGTCTACCCTCTTTTGCATGTTTATGTCTGTGCTGCTGTGGAGAGGATGAATTCCAGTGCACGGTACACAGGCATTTTGTCTGCTGTGTATTTTTCCAATACTCTTTTTTTTTCAAAGAAAACATTTGTAAATTAGCACAGACCCTAATGCTCATACAGAAGGTTGTTGTGTGATTCCATTAAACTTCACGGGTGCTTTGTAGAGCCTGTAGTACAAACATCTCTTGGAGGTTTTTCCACATGTGCACTCGATTTATTTAACTTTCTATATGATACTGTTTTTCAGATGTTTTTCTGTAGGCKCTTAATGTTACATAAGCCTACTGCCATTACAAACAATTAAATACCAAAACACTAAAGAGCTTGATGAAAATCTTTCCTTTTTCCTGGCATGGTTTACTTGGAACTCACTAAAGCAGCAGTGGATTTGTGTTTTCCTCCTCTGCCTTCACAGCTAGGATTGGAGAGAGTTAATTGCATGTGATACCTGTAGCCTGTAGAAGGCTCCACAGCAGAGGAGTTACCCACAAATGTAACACTACAATTCCAGGAGGCAGCAAACTTTTAAGTAGGGCAAGTCACAACAGAGGCACACGGTGGGGATGGCTGATCCCCGGAAATCAATGCTCAGGGTACATGTGGCAGCGGCGCTCGGCACAAGGAAGGGTGGCTGCAGCTGCAAATGTTGCCACCCTCTGCTATGTTTAATATTTCTCCTTTGGAAGTTCTGATCATTACACAGCCCCCTGCAAGGTAACACTTATACAATTCAATGGGAAATCAATTTAATCAATCAAGCTGCTCTGCTGATTCTTCCCTTGCCCTTAACCCTTGGATTGCTCGTGTTTCCAGGATGCTGAGCAAACGGAGGCTTTGAGGAAATGCACAGAAAATGACACAGATTCCACTTATCAGAAATATCCTCTTGCTCTAATGAATTACATTCCCGGAATTAGGTATCTTGCCGAGGTTATCCCTTTTATCTACCTTAATTTTCAGGTTCCTGTGGGTGCTGGACTGTCTAAGATGAGGGCTGGTGTTATTCCTATTTTTAGGAATTGATCCCAAACTACTTTGCTGTCCCTGTTCCTGGATGGACAGGGATTATACCTGTGGCCCTGCTGTTAATGAAGCATGTGGAACTTTAAGTGATGTGACCTCCCTGTCCTCTTTCATTGCTGCTGTGCCTGGCTGTAATTTTGACAGCCATGTGCCACATGGCAGAAAGAATCTGATGCTAAATGAGGGGAAGGCAGAGCAGAACTGCTGCTTAAATTCCAAACTATAAATGGGAATCAACAATCTGAAATCAGAACAAGCCATTTCACTCAAAGGGYTTTTGTTTTTTCTTCTAGAAAGCTTAAAATGTCTGCAGAGAAAAACTTAAAAGATGTCAGCCTGGTCTTGGTGAAACCAGCAGTGAGCAAAGAGTTAAAAATAGAGCTGGTTAGGGGAGATTTGGGTTCAAAGGCAGTACTGTGAATCATTAGCTATCCTGGAGGTCCACTCCCTTTGGAACTGAGACTTGCTGTCTTCCTAAATCTCAAATGAGGAATCACCTGCTCCAAACCCACATTAAATTGTTGCACTCTTGTGTTGTTTCAGACTTATGGATGAGCTCCCAGATTCAGTGCTGAGGTGGGATTCTCTTGGAAGCAGCTGCCGTAAGTGTACTTGCACTTGTACCCTATGGCTCTCYAGCCTGTTCCTAAACACAGTTAAATATCTGACTCTAGGGGAGAAGCAGAAGAGAAGTGAAAGTAACACAAATTTAACAAAGTCTTCAAAAACAAAAAGAATCTTGCTCAGTCTGTGATGTATCCCATGGAGTGACATAAGGGATCTTGGCCATATGTAATCCAAGGTGTTGGGAAGCTGTGACTATCTTGGAAACAGAAGTAGCTGTTAGTATGGAAATAGTAAGCAACTGTCTACCAAAGGTTTATTGCTCGATGCTCAGAGTTTGAAAAAGCAGATGGATGGACMGTTTGTCTTGTCTTGTTTCTTCCTTCCCCAAAATACAAAAGTAACCTAGGGAAAGTACCAAAGGTCAGTATCTATTTTTGATTTATTCCCTTATTTTCCTAGCACTTTCTTATTGGACTTAYTGGAATGCATTGTGTACTAGGTAAAATTTATTCATGATGTGTATACATATTTAATAAATCTTTCCTGCTGGGATTTGACTAGATGCTAATATCTGGTGTAGCACTCCAGTTTTAGGATACACTTGGGTCTTCAACTGAAAGAAAAGTTTGAGCCCCCCACATGTTTTTCCTACTAGCATTGTTCCTGCCCATTCTGTGGTTTCCCTGTTTTTTGAACCACTTGATGGAAAAATGTTGCTGCTGTTGGACTGTTTTGGGATGCAATCAGAAAACCAATAGTTGTATTTGAAGTAAAAAAMAGAAGTTGTGTTTTTCCAAAGCAATCACAGTATAGTATTTATGGAGATTGAAATAATACTGTTCCGAGTGATTATTATTTAAAGGGGATTGTAATCTATCAAATATAATATATTTTCTCYTTTACACAGAACTATCAATACTTGTCAATAAAATATTTTAATTTTTATCCTTGCATAGCTGTCAGTGCTGTGGGAATTAGTACATGAACATAATGAGATGGAGCACTTAAGGTCTGGCTTGTTTATCCAAGTCTGTCTTTGCCTTTTCTCATTCCAAAAAGACAAGACATTGTCAGTTCTGTGTTTTGAGTGTGTCTTCAGCTGAAATTGTGTTGTCTTGTTTGGCAGCAGAGGATTGGCATCCGTGTTGGAATTAAATCCTGTCTGAACTTCTGGGTTTCCACTCAGTGAAACTTACAGGCAAATCTGCTCTACAGGTGAAATAGCCATGTTTTTGGCCGGCGTTTCTAGCTTAGCTTATGATGAGAAGCCCAAGTATCAAGCACTGAAGAAAATCCTTCTGGATGGCCTGCAGTCAAGTGGAATGCGGTACGACGGCCCTCTGGAATTTTCCACGGCAGCAGCGAGCRCACGGAATCGCTGTGCTGCTAAGGTGAACAAAGTAAGACAGCTCTGGGATTATTTCTGACAGCTCCTGCCTGTTGCCTTTCCTTTTGTAGAGAAGGAAATAGTTAAAGCTCTCAAAATGAGACTGACACAGCAGTTCTTTTGCCTTAAATACACCATGTTTGTTAATTCCTGTTTCCCCTGGCTTTGCTAAAAAGTGGAATGTAAACCCTCAAGGAGGAAGAACTGCCATGAGTCCTTTTGACCCACAGGCTCTCACTTCAAAGCAGTAGGTCTGTGGAGAATGATTTACTTTCAGGATAATGGGGAAGTCAAGGACTTTGTTCAGTAACATGTTGAAGACAAGCCTGAATGCCAGGTTTTTCCTTCGTCCSAGATTAAAAGCAAAGTTACCTTTATTAGTGACAGCATTTAATTCATTTTCTTGCTTTCAGGCTGTTCTTTGTCATTTGCCTTTATCCTCCTTGCATCCCCAGTTTGGAGGAGATGTTCCTGTGGCTTTAGCTGTGCTATTGGTGTGCACTGGCACAGGATTTTCCAAGTGACAGCTCTCCTGTGCTATTTTCCTTCAGTGCTCTAAGTTAATAAAGCCCAGCTTCCCTAAGCAGAGAGGGAGGTAATTAGCAGTTTTCCTGGGAAGCGTCAGTCCTGTTGTTCCTGTGAAAGTGCCCCTACGCACCAGCCCCGTGTGGGGCTCTGGGGCCTGTGCAATAAGRCAGGGTCAGGGTCCCATCCATTTTTAATATTCCTGGTGAACTTTGGACCAACACAAGTGTACGTGAGCCAAGAATGCAGGATGCAAACTAATGTGACTGATAGGCTGCGAGATGAATGGTGATTCAAGTATCAGTGCACAGATGGTTCTGATTTGCTGAGTTTTGTAGCTGCTGCAACTGAAGACATAAAATATCCTTCTAGTCATAAATTAGCTCTTTGGAAGCAAAACCTTGGCACCAGAGCTTTACAACCTTCAATTAGTAGGGAAAGAAGTATTTGAATGACTGTGGTATTGACATCTGTAGGCCTGCATAGTAATCATTCCTAATAGAAGAGAATATCTGTTTGAGGGGGTTTTGCATGGCTAATTAACCACCAGTGAGAATATGTAATTTTTCCATGATCTCCTGATTGTCACCTTTCTCTCCTGATACAATTAGATTTTATTGTAGCAAGTGCCTCACAAACCAATTGTCAGCACTATTTACGTATGGTGGAAGGCAGAACAAAAGTTCATGTTTAATGAAAAGGCACTGGGTTTTGATCTTGGTAATTACACACTTAGTTTAGCACTTCTATTGACTTTTCTGGGTTTACCCACTTTTTTAAAATTTTAACGAAACCGAAAAGCCTTTTTGGTGAYGGGGCTTGTGTGGCTATGATGGTGTCCACTGTGTCCTCACTCATTTAAAAAGTTTTCTGAAGTTTGCACCGATTTCTGAACTGGCTCAGAGCATCAGGTACTGTTAACTGATCTCCAGCTGATCCTGCTGGATCTGTTTCACAGGAGTCTTTGATTTCTGAGTCAGACACTAAGTAGTAAATCTATTTCCTTCGTAAGCCTGGCCCAAGAGTTGACACAAAAGATGATCCCAACTTTGTAGGCTGAAGGAACTTCTGCAGGACTATATATTTGCAAGTCATCCCCCCCCCCCGGAAAATCCCTGGCTGAGGAGTGTCAGTTATCACTATTCCTGTGTCACAGGACCAAGGGGGGGATTGGTTTAGATGGCCAGGAACTGGATCAGAGGAATTGCCTGTATGTTACTAAATCCTGGCACCTGTCAGCACTTTTTCAGGGAAATCTGTAATGCCAAGTRTCTCACTTCTTGGAATAGTGAGAACACCAGGATCACCTGTGTTTTACTGGAGTCTGTTCTTTCAGCCACTTCTGCTGCTGACACCAGCCAGTTTCCTCTAAACACTCTCCGCAAAACAGCTGCAGAAAGGCAATTTTAAGGTTATTCAAAGGATTTAAGAAGTACTTAAATACAAGTAGAGAGGGCAAGTAACTGAACTTGCTTGAAATTTATGGCTATTTTCAGAAAATGCAATGTTTCAGTGGCCTAGTGCACTTGGTGCTGCAGCTCTGACAGTGCTGGATGACAGGCAGGCTCTTGCCACTGCATCTCTTCATGRCACTGCCTCTAGTGATCCTAGGCCTGACTTTTCATTTCAACATTCCCTTTACATCTCTCCTTTTATTCACCACTTCTCTCATTAAAGAGACAACCTAGGAATAGTGGGAGCCGGCCACTGCAAACAAGCCACTGTCCCCTCACATGCTGCTTGTGAGCAGAATCTGACTCCAGCTGATCTGATTCCTCCTGTACCTCCTCCTGTAGTTTGGTACACAGGAAATGAGGGAATTTGGGGTTAATTCCCTACTGAAGAGCAATGAACACAGAGTTACAGAGGATCSTGTAGCACCAGCTCCTTGATGACGTGAAGAAGATTGTGTGGATTTTAGGATATTACTCCCTGTATAGTATCAGAGTCTAATCTTGAGGTGGCAAARAAGCCTAGCAGTGGTTCTTGTAGCATCCTGGTTTTTGGTTCCAACTGCACACAATATTTGCATTTTTAGTCCTGTTGGATCTTTTAGTAAAAACTTCATGTTTTGCTTTAAGTCACATTTGGAAAGTGATGCAGTTGTTTCAAGTGTGTATACATGTTAAAGATCATTATTTTTCTGTGTGAAATCTGGGCTTTTTTCACTTTGTATCCCAGGTTCGCSTCCCAAAATCTCCACCAAAATCAGCTCTGCAAAAGGGAAAAAAGCTGGAAGAGGGAGAACCTGCGTGTGAAAACAAAGTGTGGAAGCGGGTAACAGGCACACAGCCCCTGGGAGAAGAGAAATCAAGTAAACGAAACAGGAGGCCTCCCCAAGCAGAGCCTCAGCAGGTGAGGATCTGGGGCCTGCAGTAGCACCCACATCTCCCTGTTCTGGTAGTTCAATGTCCAGCTCTTGGGGTGGGCAAGGAGGAACAGAGCTGGGAAAGAGCCAAGGACTCTGTCACAAACTCCAGGAGCTGGCAGATGCTTGCTGGCTCCCAGTATTCCACACATGAACCAGAGTCCCTTGTAGCTCACGGGATAATTGCTAAGGGAGGGCAGTGCCTGACCTGCCCCAAACCTGATGGTTTCATGTGCTGGGATCAGGACTTGGGATAACTCTGAACTTACTGAATTCCCTTTGGCACACAGTTACTCTTACCTCAACAGGCTCCCTTGCCCAGGCCTTCACCAAAGCCAGTGCAGCAGAGGGAAAACAGAAGGCACAAGGATGACTCCAGCTGCCTGAGCAGGCCCCACACCCGGGCACCACGCCARCAATTCCAGGTGGAAGAGAAGCCACTTAAATTTTACAGTACACAGCAGGAGCCTGAGAACCCCAAAAAGGTGAGGGGTTTGGTGCTACCATAGAACAGTCACAGTGCCTTGAGAAGGAAAGAACAGCTTTTCTAAAAAGAAAAGTTAAATAAGAACTCTCAAAGAAAGCCTCAGCTATGCCTGTGTGAACTCAGTGTTTGCCACGAACACTAAAGGTTTGGGTGTAGTTGCGTGGATGTACTRTTGGCCAAGTACCACTGCAGTTTGTTGTGTAGCTGCAGAGTAAAGCCCTGCACTGGSATGCAGATTGTCCCACTCTTCTATGTCCCTTTATGGACTCTATTGTTTGCTTGGCAGGAACTTAATTCAGTAGTTTCCTTCTCTGTGTGGTGGAAAACTTCATAGTGCTCATTAATTAAGTTCTTCAATTGTGAGTTTTAAATCAAAAGATTTTGGCAGTTAACAGACTCACCTTGAACATTATTGATAATTTAGTGCTGAATGAAAAAGGTTTCATGAATGAATGGTTTCAGTCTTACTCTTCAACTATTCAGAAACAAAAAAGAATTTGTTTTAGTACAAATAATGCAGCACCATCTCCATCTCAGTGATGACCCAGTTCTCCTTTTCTCTGGAGCTTTGGTGTATTTTAGTGAGGGGATTCCACTCTGATTTTCTTTCATATAAACAAATAACTTGGTTAAATGAGGACAGTTTCTAATGAGCACAAAAATGCAACTTTCAAGGGAGCTTTATTATTAATCCAAAATTCTTTGCTTCAAGCAGTCTGATCATCACTGCCTGGAGACTCCGGTACAAGCTGGGAGAGGGAAGCAGCAAAAGCACAGCTGTACCTGAGAGCATCAGGCAGGACAGTGGTGAGCAGAACCATCCTGGGAGAGGTTTTGGCTGCCAGCAGGGGAAATGGAGCCTGACAAGTCAAACACAAYTTTGGAATAGGAAAATATTCCAGTGTTATTTCTTAGTCCTCAAATGTAAAGTTTTTGCAGAAAAGGGACCAAGCACTGGGTAGTGTTTAGATTATATRTGTCTGGATTTAGTTTTTCTAAGGGCAAAGCTGCTATTCCAATAGGATTAAATGTGCTGTTTCTATGTAGAACCATTCTGTGGTACTCACTGAATATTCTGCARAATAGGGGAGACTTTTAATGGGTGTCAGATAACATTTAAACCATTCAAATGAGAAACTGGAGAAGGAAAAAAATGGCAGGATTCTGTTAGCTTCATTTTGCAGAATTCCTCTCAGTTCCTGTCACGTAATTCAGAAGCTCGGTAAAGGAAAGGTCTGTAGGAAACTGAAGGTGTCCCTGGTTCTAAGGGACAGTGGAAAACAGAGTCAAGTCTTGGCTAAGTGAGAAGTGGGATGGTGGTGTTTGGGGATCCCTTTCAGAGGTGGAGACTGGCTAARGGTGGCATTGCTGCTGGAGGTGTAAAACAGCCCAGGCACCCCTGGCCAGCCAGAACAAGCCTCACAGCGCCAGTTTATGTTCCCTGTGGTGGGCAGGAGAAGTTCAGCTTCACTGTGAAATGCAAAACTTCTACAAATCAAACCTGCAAATTCACACTTTAATCATATTTCGAGGTTCCAGGACAAACCTTTATTAGCAGGAACACAGGAAAGTCTGAATACACTAAACTTTACTGGAAACAAGTCAGGTAGGAGAATAATTTCAGATGTAGGCTTCAGTAGTAAATATAGCTATGTCTCTTTAGGTGTTTAATCCATGTTACTCACTTACCATACAATATCCATACATGTACAAATTCTTCAGGTAAGGCTCCATAAGAATGGCATTGTTTTCTCTATGATAACTTAAATACCTCAATGGCGTCTTTGGGTTTTTTGATTCACATCTCATTTAATACAATCTTTATAATTACTGCTTTTTTTCCCCTGCAGGAAGACACTGCAAGAGAGCTGCCACCATTTGACCCCTACAGAATACTCACAGAATCCCAAAAGAAACACAATGACCTTGTAACTCCCATTCCTCCAGCAGCATCCCAGGCTGGTGCTGACACYGCTCTTCCTTCTCTCTCTGCTGTGTTTAGGCTGGCATTTACTGATGAAACCTACCCCTACACTGCAGCTGTTCTGGTGCTTCTGGTGCTCATTGCACTGTCCTTGTATCTGCTTTGATGTTGCTGTTYCTGTGGCTTCAGTGGGAGTGCAGTSGTGTTCCAAGCACACATTTTTTTCCTAGAGTTTCTTCATTGAAGATTTCAGTGTCAGRGGCTTGAAAAAAGTTTTAAAATAATCCTGTCAGTACACACCCTGTACAGGCAAGTTCTCATCTGCACTCAATAGCTATGGATGCTATCAACTACTTGTTGTGGTTTCTGTTAGAAATGTTGGCATTTTTTGTTGGTTGTTTTTTTTTTTGTTTTTTTTTTAACTGAACCTTTTGTTACAACAGCATTAAAAAATCATTAAATACAATAGAGTATGATCTTTAATTACTCTGGCATTAGTGTGGGTTTTCTGACATAGTGTAAAGATATCCCTTTAGTTAAACACGGATGCATTAAACACATGGCAATTTATCGTTTAWTCCAGTGGCTAAAGAGAAGACAGTAGCCACTGATTCTATTTTAGWAAAGATTTTGTTACCAGCTTTGCTTTTTTTTCCACTCCTATTCCTTGGATTTCCTTACCTTATTACAATAGGGACATTCACCAAAGATGACATTAAAACTCTGTCTGCTGGTAGGAAGGCCTTGTAGCCACTGCAACACAAGGAAGTGGGTTAAAGTCACATTGGTTTCATATCCAGTGTAAGAGACATCTATGAATTACCAGAGTTCACCTGATGAACATTTGACAGGGTGCATTCAAAGAGGGTGGATCCCTTTCCCAGGGAGCTCATGTAGGAATGGAGGGTAAGAGGACAAGCAGAAGCACAGCAACTGCCATAATGTTCCCTATGGGCTTTTACTTCATCTGGAATTTAAGTGGACAGTGCTTGTTTTATAGTATGTTGCAGTTGCTGAGCAGTTTGTCCCATTGGTCACCTCACCTCATAGAGACAGGCCTGRTGGAAGGGCTGCCCGCAGCGAGGATCGTCACACACTTGGTCGGGCGCGCTGCCATCGAGCCGATAGGCGTAGCAGATCCCACAGTCCTTGGCAAAGTCCTGGGGACACAACAGCTTTAGCTTGCAGTGCAGCTGGAGGGAAGGGATGGGCTGCTCACCCACAAACAGGTTCACCTCTRTCTTTGCTTTTACATCTTTTGTTAGCTGCAATTACTATTTTTTTGCCTTCAATGCATATATCTTCATGCCTTAATGGTATAGAGTGACACTGGGTTCCAGGTGTACAGGACTTTACTGGGTGATACTTCATCCCCTCACTGAATTACATCTAGGTCAACAAGCATTTTCATACTTTTGGGCACTCTTTTTATTAACCACYATGATTTGTCATTATGATTTGACATTAGACACAAACCCTCAGTCAGATTTTAATTTAAGAGCTTCACGAGTGAAAGCAATGCTCACAATCCAGTGTTAAAGCATTGTCAAAAATTAATTCCAGTTTGTTTGAAATGCACCAGTATTTGGATGGCCTCTAGTCCCCTCTAAGCAGCTCTAGCTAATTAGAACTGAAATCATCAACATCCACAACAGAATGTTTGGATTTTCCACATCTCATTAGCTACTCTGGAACTTCCTCTTTTTCTTTTAATAGTGGAGCCTGTTATTAATGGCCTCACTACTATGAAGGCCACAGGGAAGTGTGCACCCCTAATCAAAGGTTAACAAGCTCTGACAACTGTTGCTTGAAGTTCAGAAGTCCCTGTGACAATGTATTAATCCAATTACCTCTCTTCTAAGTCCCTGATTGTCCCTGGCTCTTAGAAAGTGACCATCTAAATGTTACTTATTCAGCAAAAACCACTGATCGTAAACCAAAACCAACTTACGCTTTTTTCCAACACTGCACGAGATGGAAAATCAATTTCTAGGAGYTCTCTCAAGTTTTGTAACAAACTGATTTCTGGATCCCTGCGGGTGGGAGAAGGGGGAGAAAAGTCCACACCAGGGTTGGCAAACACCATTTGAGTTTACAGCTTGCTTTACTAGAGACACTCACCACAAGTGCATGTTGTTGTTGAGTTTAGTTCTCAGAGGGTTCACTGCTGCAAACACCAGACAGGAATAATGACATCACCCCAGTGAACCTCCCACATTTAACRTAGGGATTGGATCAGAGATCTGAGTCCAGAGGAGAAACAAGTGGAATTTGCTGCCTTACCGTGATCTGCTCCAAGGAAATAACACTCTGGAAGCATATTTGGATGGTGAGGATCTACCTCTACGTTCACTGAGACATTGTTCCCTGCAAAGAGAAAGCAAGGCCATGGGGAAGMTTGGCAGTCAAGGATTTGAAAATGGAACCTTTCTTAAAAGCAGTTTTAAATTGSTGAATTCAGGATGGGTTTCATTAGGATAAATAATAAAGTTGGGAGGTACSCAAATAATTGTACAAAATATCAGTGTATATAAAATACTTATATTTCTACAGACTATAATTAAAAATAGGAACTGATTTTAAAAACTTGCCAGGCTTGCATTTCTTTTTCTTTTTGCATTTCTAAAAGCTTTCCACAAAGAAAAGGCTTAAAAGAAAAGCTAAGGCTTATTTAACCTTAGCACTTACTCAGAAATAAACCTAATCAACTCAAGCTAGATGTCAAAATCCACCCTAAATCTTGGTGAAACTTTGAAGGTAGTAACTTACTAATTCATCTTTATCTTCTATAGCCAAAAAAACAAGCCCAGGTGAAAGCCAACATTTTCTGTAAGCTGTGTTAGGCTTTCCCTCCTGAAGTGGTGGGAATGATTGAAATCAAAAGTCAGAGGTAGCTGAAGGTTCTCTGTGCCCAACAACAAAGGGCTCAAAGCCCTGTCCTGTCCTGCTCCGAGGCTCTTGTTGAGTCTTTGTTTTTCCTTGGCCTGTGACAAAGTGCAGCAGTACCAGGACAAAGCCCCCCTGACTGCACACAAAGTGGTGGCTGACCCACGTCATTCCAGCCACTTGCTGAACTTTTCCCATCTTTCCCTCCAGCTCCTTCCTCCCTCTCTCTCTCTWCAGCTGAGCCCTCTGGCTGCAGCTTTCAGGGACAACTTGGGTCCACTCTGTGTTCTCACATTTCTACAATTTGCTACCGGTGATGTGGATTTCAGCTGAAAATCAGCACTTTTCTGTCAAAGATAACATCCTCCCAACATTTCCAACCTCTGACAGTGACAATTAAAACTCCTTATATATAATTACAAAATTCCTTATCCTATGTCTATTAAGACCTTAAAACGTGAGACATCAGCAAGCATATACACTGAGGTACATTTTCAGGTGGTTTACCGGGAAGCCTCTCTTTGTTTCTTTGTCCTTTCCACTTGCCTCCTTTAACCCTCTTTTCTCACCTTGGACTGCACTCTAATATTCCTTCCACTCCAGGATAAGATGAAACTAAAGTTTAAAAATCTGGAATCTGTGTTTGAGGTAAGGGTTTCACCTAAGCTGATTTTTTACAAATACTGATTTTTGTAGAGTTACGTGCAAGTGCTCCACTGTTGACAGTCCCATGTTCATAATTTACAAAGACACGAGGTTTTCCTACAGAAATTTTCATTTATGTGACAGCAGAAAGTTGTAATGAATTTCCCAAACAGCTTCAGTATTCTGTGGAAAGTTATYTTTTTAATACACAAAAGAAGTGTTCTGTCTTTGGTTTTAAGTGCTGCCTTTCTCAAACTCAAACAAGCTCCATCTGGTAAGACAAGCAAAACAAAACAGCATTCTGAGTTTTCTCAAATCCACTGTATCCCTTTAAAGTCTTTTCCTACCTATTGCAATTCTTCTGGTTGTAGCACTCCGTGTGGGTTTTTCTGGCTCAAGCACCCATGTCTTCCCATCGATTTCATCCAGRGCATCCCAGAATTCCTTCAGTGACTCCAATGCTGCCAGGAACTGATTGTAAATGTCTATTAAGGAGTTCTAAGAAAAGAAGAAATTTAAACAGATTTCATGAAGTTTCCAGCAATGGCGTGAGAGAATATTAAAAAAAATCACTTAAGGAGTTTTAAAATCGATGTGTGTGTCCCAGTGTAGCATGATAGCATAAAACACGGAATATCACCTAACATCATCTCAAAATTAAGCAGTATAAAAACAGGTGATTAAGATCAGCTTTCAAACCCCGTACATAAGGCAAGAGAAGGAGAAATCATCTAATAAGCAGAAGATTACACGTGGGGGATTTCAATATTTGAGRGTGGATTACACGGAATCAGAAATATCTTTCATTAGACAGGATGATACACAGGACAGTAAGAAAAAAAATCTTTTGAAATCGTCAGTGGGCAAAAAGAAGTCACTGTTTCCCCAGGAAAAGAGCTCTGCAAGAGGAGAAAACCCTTGGTGATCAAGTAAACCCTTTGCAGGTGCAGAATGCCCAGAGAGGACCAGGTTTCAGATATCCAGTGGTCCAAAAGAAAAAGCAAATTAAACGTTCTGTTCTCAGAGAGGTATTTCTCTATAAATAATAYAAAATATAGGAGGAATGGTTTCCTTTAATTTGTAATGATTAGGTTCTTCCTTTCTCACCTGGTTAAAAAGCAGCAAATTATCTGAGTATTCTCAGATGAAGAAAYAGAATTTTTCTACGTAATAACTTTTTATATTTTGTGCATGTGTATTTTAGAAAGAAACGGTGTAGCTTGGAAATAAAATGCTACATTTTTTCTTGCTGTTGTTAAATTATATTAAAGTAGGAAAGCACCTAAGCAGAAAAGTGTGAATTCTGCCAATCTCAAAATGTAACGCTTATTATCTTTAAAAGCATTTTGTTACTTTTATAACACCTGAAGTGATATAATAGTGTCAGTCACTTAACCACATCTTAGAGTATAGTATCTTCATCTTAAGTACTATTATTTCCAGTATTTTAATAATTTTCACACAGTCCTGAAATGTGATCTTTTGTGCTCTGATGACACTTAAATTAATAGCATAATTTTCTGGTACTTGCAACAGTTGCTTTCCATTTTGATTTTTCACATTTTTCTATATCACATACAGATAAATCCTCTAATAATCATTTTTATCTTTATCTTCCGGGAATTCAAAGGGTTTCACTAGAAAAAAGAAACATCAAGGGATTATAACCCACAGATAAGTTTTAAAATCCAATTAATTTTAATACTAATTGTAATTTTTCAATGATGTTCCTTAAAAAGGTAGTTAAATCTTTTTTTTACACAGTGTTCATTTGATCTTATTTGCATGCTTCACTGATGTTGCCAGCTGTCTCCTGCTATATACATAAATGMATCTATAGCTATTTAAATGCTTCACCTGCTTGTCATGCAAACCATGAAAACTCCAAGATTCCTTTTTATTTGATTAACCAACTAATTTTTGGTCAGAGCCCAACACTTTTAGARCAGCCTGAGATCACACTTTTCTTTGGTCCGAACTACACCACAACCATTGTTAATAATGTCAAACAGCACAAACTGTTTTTCATGGTCCCCTTTGTATAAATGAATTAGAATTTGCGTGAATTACATCAAAATTCTTTGGAAGATAAGAATTTAATCATTCAGACTGTCAATGCTGCTCACCCCAACCCCAAAAGCGCTCACAAAACCACACTGGTTCCTGCATCCTCCATAAAAACACCAGCTTTGGTGGGTCCTCAGCAGACTGTGACCCCAGTGTCACCTCTGTGTTACCAGACTCCATGGATCCCTCAYCCATTTCAGCTGCTGACTTTGTCCATGGAAAATCAGATATTTTGAACCTCCCCATCTCCAAGGGGAACACAGCTTCTCATCTACCAGGAAAGTCTCGTGTAGTTTCTCAGCATTTCCATTTCTATCCTCTGCACTCTCATCTCTGCTGCGTCACCGGTACCTCCTTGTGCCAATCCCTTTTCTTACTTTATTCCAATTCAAACATCTTCCCAAGTTCACCCTTATTGCCCATACACCATTTCCTCCAATCAAAGGATTAAGGAATGGGAAAAAATGTCACTCTACTCTTGCTTCTTATTTCTAGAGCCACAGAGGCTGGGAAGAATAAAGAGAAAATCCCGAGTCTGTGCCTGCCAAAAAACCAATGAAGCCTTTCAGGAACTTCTAAGAACTGCTGTAGCCTATATGGCTGTTCTGCCAAATTTCAAGCATCTGCTCCAAATCCTGGATGAASTAAATAGTAATAAATGCTAGTAAGAGAAGTTTGAATTAAGATAAATACAGAACAATCGATTGCAAATTATTTTTAAAAAACAGATAAAAATGCAATCCTTAGTCTGAGATTTTTTYTTTTTTKCTAAAATTCATYCTAATGCAAAATTTGYTTACCMTAAWAGGAAAGGTGAAGTAGCCTAAAYTATAGGTGCCATTACCTGCTTGCCCTTCAGGAATTAATAAATAAAATACAATTAAATAAGGCTAACAATTGTTGAAGGAAAAGGGATCACCTAAAGAATTTATGATTCCTTAGATTTGTTTGGAAACAGCTACTCATCAACAGTAGTTKAACGATTTCCCCTCTCCTTAACAGAAATCAAACCAAGACACAAGACTAGAATCTTTATAAGGTGTCTTGCCAACTATCTCCATTTTCTGTATTTACAGCTGGTGCCYGTGAAGTTCCTTTGCCAAGAGAAAGCACAATTACGACGTGTTTTATTGTGTTTTTGTCTAAATAACTGAAGAATAATCTCATTCCCACCACTTTACCTTCTGCACCTTGCATTCCTGTTTCCTTGCCGGCTGCTGCACGACCTCATTAGTCATTAATTTCCACTCTYATGACCTTCATGTAGCCAGCCAGGTGGGCAGTGGTCAGTATGAAAACCTTACCCTGACGCGACACGCCCTGAGCCTGCAGAACTGCACTTACAGAGTGTGCTAAAATTGGAGGCAGCACATTTATCTGGTTCTTTAGAAAAAAGGCTATAACAGAAATAAGTAGATGTTCTTGCACTTGTCATTGAGAAGCACTCTGCATTTATTTGGCACTTAGAACAGGAGCAGCAGCAGCAGCATTGCCCTTGGTGCTGATTTCTTACTACTCTAAAACGTCTCCTCTGAGCCAGAATCCACTGGCTGTTGCTGCTCATGCTGTGAGACACCTGCACTGGCTACTGGGCTTGTCATGACGCACAAAACCCCACCATCTTCAGCTTGACATTGTGCAAGTTATAATTATTCATCCAAATGAATATGTCAGAGCAGCAGCAGCAGACCTCTCATCAGAGCAAAAGAAAAATACATCAAAACATTATCAACCCAGCAGGAAGACAGGGACCATAAGGAAAATTACCCATTTTTAATATGGATGCCATAAAGCCATGTCTATTATTATACAGAAAGGGAAAAAAAAAAAGAAGGGAAAAAAAAACTCAACAACCCCTCAAGTTTAAAATCCATGAGCCTGAAATAGGCAGCAGCATACACAGRGGGTGGGAAAGAAAAATCAATTACCTGCAATCTATTTATATTTTCTTTCATGAGAGTTTATATTCTAATTGTACAATCGCACCAATTTAGTTAAGCCATGTCAATTTATACTTCAAAGACATAATATTAAAAGTTTTAGAACAATTGGTACCAAAACATCACGTTATTTCACTAGAGAAGAGGTATAGCATATTCTTTTTCCCTTTTAGGAACCAAAATTTTCATGCACTTGAGTACCTGCTGAATTCTGCTACCAGTGGTGTTGCAGCATTATCTAAGCTTAACCCGTATTTTATCACGGTGTGAGGGCTGCTCGCCGCAATGATTTCCACGCATTTGGAAAATAAACACAATTTACACAATTACCAAAGCCATTTGTCCCCACAAGTGTTGGGTTCCTGTCACCCACACACACAAGGTCAATTTGCAAAACCTACTGTACAGCTAAAGCATTTCTGTCTGCTGGTATTTGGTTCAGGATTAGAGCAGGCTCTCTGCAGCTGGAATTAGTGTCTCTTGATTTTAAAACGGGCTCTTCAGTTACAAACACCTTTTGTTCCTGCTTYGAAATAGTCCCCAGGTAACTTTAACTGTAAAAAGATTTTAAGCAACAGTGTTGTATTTTTAATATTGGATTTTTCCTTGGCTGTAGTGCCAGTATTAGTATATCCACCCCGTTTTTTAACTTGTCAAAGGCTGCTCCATGTCACACTTTTCCTGAACATTTTATTAAAACACAAGTCCATCTTTAAAMTTACCAACAGTAAACACAGAAGCATTCACTGTCAGGGACGTCTGAAATGTTGCTAATTTGAGGCAAGATAAATTGTAAGGCTCTAAAATTAATAAAACTCCTGAAAGCATGTATTGAGTTTGAGGTTAGAAACAGCACTTCAAATCCTGGCCAGAGTGTATGGACTCCAGTAGAATTTAAGGGAAAAACATCTATTTAAAATGTTCCAACCCATATCAGAGAATCAAAACCCTAAATTACAAAAATAAATACATTTTTTCATTTGCAATGATTGATTCTTGCAGTTATTTCCCATTAATATTAGTGGGTCTGAGGTGACACATAGAACCTTGAATTCTATTGAAAAATTATATGCCTGGCTTAAACTCATCCTGCTGCAGCCTCCCAGCCAGGTTCTCTATGCAAATTTATTATTTATTGCTGGGTAGAAATCTTTGTGAATTAGAATTATCAGATGCAATCATTTATGTAAAATCAATTTTTCTGATTTAAATGAAATTAAATATCAATTCTTTCCTACATACAATTCAAATTTACTTGTATCTAAGTGGTCACATTTAAATTAATTTAATAAAGTACACGTGCCCTATTCAGGAAGAAAGGTAAATGAAATGATGTGAGAGACCAACAAAAGACAATGGCTTATGGTTCTTTATAGTAACAATATCACTTAAAATAAGAAATCAGAATTTTATTTAATTTCGTGTACTGAATATAACTGGAAAAGTTTTGTTACGTTATAAAAACCYTATGATAACAAACTAGGGGAAACTATAGGATAATCAATTCCTTTTTTCAGTGTCTGTCAGCTTCAGAGGATGCTCCTTTTCTAGAAAACAATAATTTTCTGTTCATTTCACTTCATTTTCACTTTCCCAGCATAATTCCTAAAGAATTTTCAGTCATATGAACAGCTTAGAAAAAACCCAACCAGTACAGTATAGTGTGCAAGGAATATCGACATGGAAGTTATTTAAGGTACTTTGTTAAGGAATATGGAGGTCAGTGTTATTCCATTTTCATGAGCATGTACAGAAAGAAAATGCACACAGGGAGAAAAGCTGGACCTAAAAACCAAAGCCCAACCCTTTGTTACCACCCCTTTGTTGCATATGTATTTTTTAATTTTAAAAAGCTGCCCAGTCCACCAGTTACCTGTGGCATCCAGGAAACAGCAAATGGAATGGGAAAATCCACAAGGCAATCTGGTGGTTCTGTAGGATACTGAAGGAGGGAAAAAAAGTAGAGTTGGTTGTTTTTTCCTTGGTGATTCGAAGTCAGACTGATACTCAGCTGCCAAATTTGATAACAAAATATGAGCACTTCAAGCATCTTGAGAACTTGGCTCTGAGAGGAAACAGTATGTAAAGCATTTTCAGAAATAGTTATGAATGTTAATTATCATTTAAAGAAGAAAACTACATGTAAATGTTTCATATATCAGTATTTAGTAAAGGCATGAGGATCACAATTGTCTGTGTTCACTGGTCACAAAGACACATTAAAAAAACCTTAGGACACAAAGCATGAAATATTTTTTTAAAAATTTCTCCTCAATTACCCATACTAGATAACGAAGTTTGAAAACCAAACAACCCTTCCATGAGTTAAGAACTAATTTTCATTGAAGTTAAACTATTTGTTCTGATTGGCAATGTTTTGTCCCTTGAAACTGAAAACAATCTAGAGTACATAACTGTTTAGAAAGAGATGAGTGAACATAGAACCAAAATTTAAAAAAAAAATACTTATTCCAAATTAAAAGGTATCAATAAGAAAAAAATTTTAAAAGGCCTGTATTAAAAAAAACTGAAGCTATAAAAGGTTTGATAACTCCATGACACCTTAGGCTATTACACTTACAATCAAATGTGCATGTCAGAAATTATCCTGTAATTCTTTAGGACAATTTAAGCAATTACTACACAAAATATTTGTATTGGATTTCTGAGCATGCAGCTAACTTTATCTAGAGAAAGCATTTTCATACCYCTTGCCAGGTCATTCAGATAATTACCGAAGTGTCTTAATTACTACACAACAGGCAAATCCTCACAGTGGCCTATTTTAAGCCTTGGAGTCTGAAATGCTCCTGCACTGATCTTAATCAAAGGAACAGTATAACAAAAATAAACACCCTTTTATTAAAGCAGGCTATCAAAAGAAATGCTTTATCAAAAAACACTTCAGCCAAGTCTTTTCAAATGTAGTGGCTGTGTGTATGAAGGCAAATCAAATCCCCATGTCACCAAAACGATGTTTCACACACAAATTTTGTCTGGCAAATTTAAATGCCAGACGTGGTTTAAAAAGGACAAGCAATTGATCCTTCATCATAATAAACACTTGAAAACAAAATGAAAAGAAAAGAAAGAAAAAAAATAAGAAAAAAGATGATTACTTATTAAAATAGAAAGGTCTGATAATCTCATCTTTTTGTTACATACATCCTTAGCTGTTAGATGGTATTTTCTTCTATGAGAAATATTCAGGTTTTTCATTACTACAAAGAAAACATRTTTTTATATAGACAGAAAATGGGAATCCCCATTCCCTCAGTTCAGTGCTAAGTTAAGCCTGAACAGAACCAGTCAATGGACAAATGTCAGTGTTTGACCATGGTAGCTGCTTGGGAAAAATTAATATTGCACTGTATTTTTTTCTGTTGTTTTTTTTTTTTTTTTTTAATATATATATCTGTATTTTTTTTTATTTCCAAATAGTTCAAATACTTCTGTTTTCCTAATGTCAGAAAACCTTAGGGCAACAGGCTGCATCTGATTTCCAGTGGCACACAAAGTATGGGAGAGCAGGTCCCTTATAAACAACACAGCCTGGTTATTCTCCTTGCTCATTAAATAGACCATAATTGTACTTCCTAATGGATTTTTTTTCCATCAATGTATTTAATAATGGACTGACTAGCAAATTAATTATGCACTCATTACCCTCTGCATGTAGAATAATTTTACTCTTTTAAAAAATCCATTTGAGCAACACTCAATTCACAAACAGTATTTTTTCCCCTCCTTYTTCCCCCCAAAGGTAAAACTAGCTCATGTTATGTAAGACTAAAAAAGGCCCGGTTTCTAAAGGAATATAGGACACCTATGAAGGTGGGATTCAATCTTACAATACTGTGCCCACTCACATCATGAAGATTCTAACCCCAGATGATGGACCACAATAGTCCCAAACAACAACATCCAGACATGATTAAGATCCCTTTTTTCCCTGGACTGATTTTCTGAAGACAACAGTTATTGCCATGCAATTGTCACCACACAGCCTGGATATTTACAGCCTCTGATGAGTGATTTATGCCTTGAAATGAGACATTCCATGAAGAAATGTTGCAATTTGAGTTCAGGAGAAATTAAATTTTTCTGTTCCTGCAAATACTATGGGTTTGATTTGTAAGTATTGTTAAAATTAGACATTTATTTAGAGCAAAAASAAATAATTTTTCTGACTGACTCCAGTTTTTCATAAATCTTTACATCTCTGGCTTTAACTGTGAGACTTGTTAATAAATAACCCAATATCCTCTAATTCTTGTTCTATGCACAGTCTCTGGATGGAGTGATAATGAAGGAAAGTCTCCCAGATGGCTTTGTCTGTAATCCAGTAAAATGAATGCAATATCAAAGTGTTTTTCATGTGATGCACAGTTGCATCTTACAGATAACCATAATCCAATATTAATTTTAAATATAGTTTGAAAACTCCCTATAACTTTTTTAAACTGCCCCATTGCCTTGCAGAACAGACACACCACTAAACACAAACTCTCTAAAAYCCCAATGAATTAAGAGAAATCCTATTTATTTCAGGGTGGTCTGAAGATATTCTGTGCCACATCAATTTACCTTTGCATTTAACTTGAGAGTGATGAGATGCTGTCGACCACAAGAGTCTTCAGCTTTTAACTTGACTGTGGTTAGCCCAGTGTCCACATAGGCCACTCTGGAAGAGAAAAGAAAACTTAGAGCCCTGCAAGAAGTGCAGTTTGAAAGGTCTGCGATACTCTGATTAGTCTGTTACGAATATTAATCAGAGCAAGTCCTTTATGCCAAGCATTTCTGCTGCTCCAGATTTACTGCTGTTACTACACCAGTCTAGTGCTTAATGCAGTCATATATCTCTGGGTTATTTACAACGTGTGTCAGGGCTCACGCTGTGGTCAGTGAGCACCGTGTTTCAGTTTTCCATCACTGGAACCTTTGACACACACAGCATGTTCCTGTCAGCCTCTACTTATGTACACATTAAACTTCCTGTCAAATCTTTGATCCATTTCTGCAGTTTCTTACTCTATGAGACTTTTATGCTCTTGATTTGCTTTTCTCTTCAATGAAGTTCTCTTTTATTATCAATACTATTATTGTGGGAAATTCAGTGCATATTGGTTCATATTCTGAAATTGATTTTCTGCAGAAAATAGTACCCAAACAGGTACAAAATGAGTTATTTATGATGATTTGCCTTCATTTCATGACAGTTTTACACCATGTTCATGCACCTTAGCAAGTAAAAAGTACATACTAAATGTGAATAAGTTTTAAAACTTCTGACATAATCACTGACTCTTTGCTAAAGATGTCACTGCTTCGTGCCTCCCACCACAATGAAGATGGATACAATTATAAAATATATTGCTCTCTAAAGATGGATTCTGCTTAGTAGCTTCAACAATTGCCAAAATGGTTCAAACTTCCCCATATATTTACCAGTAAACTGGGCAYGTGGATATTTTGGCATTTTTACTTTGTCATTCCTGTGTAAAGATAAAAAGCAGTCCAAGGTAATTGCACAACTTATCACCCACACTGATGGGAAGGCCTAACAGAGTTCAGAGAGAGCATCCACTTGCTGGCCTAAGCAACATTTATTTTTTTAAACCATTACATACTAGAAAAATTCACATGGTTTTCTGAAGCGAAACTGGCAACAGAGTTGTAGGGGCTTGGGGAAGAAAAAATAGATGTACACCAAAAGGGGGCACATCCCTAGGAAGGAAATGACAAGAAGGAAAGAAAATTATCTACATAAATGAAACTGCCTCAAATTGAAAAATACAGATAGAAAAGGCAGTGTTAGTAAGAAGGGCAAGAAAGATTATTTCATGTTTAATGCTGATTAATGCAATATTAAAGAGACCTGCAGATTTCTGGGAGTATTTATCCACAACAGCAAAAGAAGAGTCTTGATAAAAGTGTAATTCAACTCAAGTCAATTAAACTTGATATACTTAGAAASAATTAGAGCATYCCTCCTCTAATTGGGGRGAAAAAAATCATTACTCCTGCTTTGCTCCAACTTTACCTCAAAAGTGTATCAGTTTTATAAAACTGAGAAACTACCTCTATCCCACCCCTCCATCTACTGCTTCCTGGGGTGGAGAATTCCTAAGGCATATTGATATGGCAATAAAATATGCAGCAGTGTCCACACCAAAGCACAACTAGTGCCTGCAGCRCTGTGCTGGGAGGTTCCACAGCAAAAAAAGAACAGAAAAATTAAAGAGGTGCTGCCAAGGTGTCTGGGATTTTAAATTACCCATTCTGACATTCATCTTATTTGGATCAGTTCAATCTTGATTTATAAGAAAAGTATGGATTATTTTAGTTTTAGTCACACATTTGTATAAACACATGAGGAACTATTTACATAGGTGGTATTTCAGTTACACAAACTTTTATTCCTCTGCAGGCTCCATCATTTTAACACAGCAAAGAAACAAATGGAATCAGCATAAAGATGGAAAGCCTCAGGTAAATCTCAAGTCCAGCATGACACACAAATGACTGAGAGCACAGGACCAGGCAGGATTCCCAAGCAAATGAAGAAGGCAAGGGAAGAAGGAAAAAAAAGGGAAAATACCAAGCACAAGAGCTTTGAGAGATCATGACCCACACATGGACTTAAGAGGTACTGGCAGCATTTAWGAATCCTCATGAGGGTGGTAAGAGTCCTACAGGTGTCTTATAGTTGATAATTTACCTTCCCAGGACACTGTCTCTGACTCAACCAGCATGATTAAGGGATAGTGTTAGAAAAGCCTGTCCTGTAATTTTGCTCCTGCAGTAGTATCTCTCTCCCACCCACATCCTTCAGTTTTTCAGTTAGATTTGGGTGCATTCATCCTCCAGCAAGACCCAAAACTTGCTATGAACAAGTAAATYTGGGGTACACAACAAGCAAGGGATTCTTTTTCTAAGAAGAATCCAGTTAAACAAAGCCGGAGGCTACTCCAGGTGTGAGCAGTGATTGCTCCTCACTGGCAGCACCAAAAGCAGCCAGTTCTGTGCTGAAAGATCATTGCAAGATGCTCTTAACTGACATGCAAATAAGCATCACCTACAACACAAAATCAGTCTCAGTTAAGAGGCTTTCTTAGAGAGTCACTTTAGTGTTAAAAGCACTCTGAAAGTCACAGGTATGACTTGTTAATGGGCTTCAAATTGCCTATCTAGGTTATTCTCCTTCTCAGTCAGAGTAACCCCGATGTGATTGCCTATGTACAGCCTAGTCCTTTGATTAATGACTGACTTCCCAACCCTTTTTCAAGATTTTGGTGGGTTGGGGTTTTTTTTTGCTTGGTTGGTGTTTTGGTTTTTTCCATTTTAGGAGAGCAATCATAATTGAAAATTTATTTCCCACGTTGTTTAAGGAATTTTAACTAATATTGTCAGACTCGAGACGTTGAAACTTAAATAGAGTATGGCACAACTTCATACTTTACAATGGCAATCGCTGACAAAACTTCAGCTGAATTAAGATGGGTGTTTTAAATCTTGAAATAAAMCTGGGCCTTCACAGCAAATTCCYACTTAATGTTAATCACATGCTGTTTATCTGTGTACAAATCAGGTGGGAAAACTCAAAACTGTTCTTTCACCTAATGCTTCTTTATTTCATTTTGCAATATTTACACTGCCTAAAATTTTGGGTTGAGAGTTTTTGAAATTGTCCTCTCATGCATTTTTTGGTAGATTTACCTTTCTGTGGATTACATATTAAATTCCTTTGTCTAAGGAGATCCTTGTGCTGTAAAGAGCACAAATTGTTAAAGTTCTTTAACAATTATTTTTCTAAAGAAAGTATGAAATGTTTTTATAAAAGCATAAAAGTGCACAATGATCAATCATAACCTATAGGAATAGTCACAACCAGCTGTACAAAGTAGGGAAAAATAGAACTATAAATACTAACAGTAAATATGTTTAATATACCAATAGTTTATAGGTGAAAGAAGAATAGATTTTTTAGTGATGTATCACCTTTCAGCCCAGTTATTTGAGACAGAAAAGATCCCTTCAGTTGATACAGGTTTGTTAGGTGTTTTTAATTTAAAAACAAAACAAAATCAGTTTCTGAATAGGGTAAATGAACAGAACAAGTACATTTGATGTGCTCAACTACAAATACAAAAGAGGAATGGATATTCTAAAGATTATGTTTGTTAAGAAATAAARTAATCATACTTATTCCAGCCCAGTATTTCTAGATCTCTGACAAGACAGGAGTAGTATTCTGGAGGCCGTGGGATGTGCAGGTCTGGTGTGTTCTTTAAAGCAATTTCCTGTTTCAAAGAACATTAAAAACATCGTTAAGAGCAATTTCAATATTTTTGCATCTATTTAGCCATGTGATTTTTGCAATTCATTTGAAAATATTAAGCTTATGTAAAATTAACTGTACACTGCATTTGTTTTGTTATAGCCTCCAGCTAAAGCAGACAAAGAAGCTGTTTGGTAAATTACTTCAGATACTGGTAATGAAAACATCTGCAATTTAAAAAAACCCCACAGATGTTGACAACATAGTCTTCAGATGCAAATATCAAATGTGTCTCTTTTTCAACTAATAAATTTGAAGTCAAGCATCTTTACTGAAAGAATATTTCAAAAGAAGGTTCTATTAAGCCCACAGCTGTCTCCTGGGCTCCACTGCCACAAAAGACAACATATCTATGAAATCCCCCATATTTTATATCTATATAAACTTTATATAGCAATCAAAAAACAGAATCAATTTCTCATTTTCAATATCATAGGATCCCTTAGAGTAAGTTYTGGTACAGACACTTACTGAGTATGTAGCAATGTCTCAAAAAGAAATTTTTATCAAAAAGGTAATGTTACTGTGAAAAATAAGCCCAAACCATGTGTTTCAGCTGTGTTGTGCTACTTGTTTTTTAAAAGTGCTTTTTAATTAAAATTATGCTTACAAAATACATAGACTTATGACATTTAGAATAAAATTATTAATAATTTAAAATAAAATAAGTTTAAATAAAAATATAATTTATAATAAGACAAGTTTAACAATCATTTCTGTCCAGTTTTCCCACATCTTCTTCTATGTTTTCACTCTCTGCACTGAGGATCAATATTTTGAATGAATTATACTTTCACTTCATTCTCATTTTCTGAGTGCTTGTATATGTAGGCAAACAGATTGCAATAACTACTGTGAAATATTCCCAAATAGACATTCTTATTTAGGCCTATTCCAAGCATCACAGAGCAGCAGTGTAATACCAGGAGGTACTTTCTGCTGTTGTTTTGAAGGATACTTCCTATATTTTATTTCTAAAGTTAAGTAGGTTGGATGRAGTATTCTTCACCAAAAATGTTCACAGAATAATGTTTTACTAATAGACAAGAATTGCCAGTTTTATGTTGTCAATTAAAGGGTTTGCTACTCTTCAGCCCCAGACTTTAAAAGTATAATAAACAGCAGCCTCTGAACTATTAGGAAAACAAAAAGCTTTATGCATTTATTTGTCAAGTTGTCAGACAGGTGAAAGCACCTTCAACAATCCACTGACTGTATAACCCTTTGTATGATTACAGGTCTGCTTTACCATCTGGACAATAAGMGGAATTCCCAGAAAATCACTGTAAAGAGGATGGTTGTACACCGAGACTGGGATTTAAAATTTTCTGTAGCACTCCAAGTTTCAAAGAAACAGTCACTTAAAATCCTAAAGGATATTTAAACAGGGATTACATGATCAGCATATATAGAAATCACCTCCCCAAAAAAAAAAAAAAAAAAAAAAAAAAAAGGCATGAATTTATGCAACAGTAACCTGTAAAAAACTGAAAGTGAAACCCAAAGCTCCAAGAGCACCCCATGTCCCACACATATATTCTGCCACTTACCAAAACAGTTTTCAGCTCCACCATAAAACTGACAAGATCTGGGCAGCTGTGCAACCTCTGGAGGAAAGACATTTTTAGTTAATTTTCTGCATTTTATAACTTCTASTGTGTCAGCCCAACTGTTCTTCTGGTATTGTCAAACCAAACATAAAAAAGACCCAGCGTAATACCCCATGTTTAAATTTCCCAATTACAGAAGAAAACCCCCAGGAAACTTTACTGAAAATGTGACATCATGTGACATCACTCACATTTATCTTTAGGAAAATCCTGTCCATGAGATACAGTGTTTCAACCAACACTGTGGCAAAGGTTCCTTCTTAGAAACAAAGTATTCTTTGGGACTGAAAGGATGCTGTACCCTCCCCTCTGGAAGTTTCCTCTGGATACTGAGAAATAGTTTAGACACCTTCACTGTCTACAACACAGAATGAACCAGGTCTATCAAGAATTAATGTGAATTCTCTTCTTTGCATAATGAACAACTTCTAAAAAAGTGAATAAATTTTAAAAAAAGGCAAAATCTGTCTCTAATTAAGAAAAATCCGAGTAAAATGTTAGTCATGTATTAAAAATTGTTCTAGCCCAATCTCAAAAAGAAAGAATAAAAGTTGAATAAAAATGAATATTTGCTAAATTCTATCAATTTCTCTTTCTATTTACTTGTGAATCCTCAGGCATTTAAAAATAAATCTTAGCTCTGCAATGAAAGGAGGGTTCTTTAGCCCTTTTAGAATAGGTGTATGAGCATAAGGTTTTCAGAATCWTTATAACAAACATTTAAGCATGTTTAATAACAATATTTAAATAAGTGTTTTTAAATTTGTATACCTGCTTCAAAATGTGCTGATATTCACGCAGGATCTTCTTCAGATGCCAGCTGCACTCTATCCTAGACAAACAGTATTTTGTACAAATTTTAAATTTACAGTATATGATTTTTAAAAGAAAGCAGAAAGCCTTCTAGACACAACAGTACAACAGCTTCTCTTGAAAAAAAACAAAGGAAGGAAACAATACTTCAAAACTGCTTTGAGTTTCATGTTCAAAGTTGCTTAAAACTTCCAAATGTCACTATGCYAAAGCCCATTAAAAATTAAACATTTACCCACAAAAGCAGGTTCTGTGCCGAAAATAACAACATAATTCTTGCAAGCCAGTGTGACTTCATAAAATACACTAATATTTAAAAGCGATTACCTGAAAATGTCAAAGTTACCTATAATGCAGTTTTAATTACCCAACCTAGAATGTAATAAAGCTATGGAATGCCACATCTGCTCCCAGTGTGGAGCAGGCTGGTCAAGGTAGAACTATGGAATACGAAGTTAARGGCTCATCCACAAATGTGGATTAGCCCTTTTCAGCTTCTTTCCCACAGAGTGCTGTGATATACACAGAAGTAAGAATAGAGCTTTTAAAGAGAAGTTGGGTAATACAAATTAATACATAGAAACAGAGAGAAAATGAAGTTAAAAAGCTCTGTTAACCATCAAGTACATGAATTTACAACTTTGCACAGAATTTTCTGTTTCCCAAATGGTGGTACATAAATGATCTATAAATATAAATTATATAAAAATTATATTTTTTTCCAAGTACATTGCTTTATATATAAATATAACCAATTAATTACAACATGTTTCAAAGTTAATTAACAACAAAATATTTTGATATAAGCAATACTTATTGTMAGCATTTATTAACACTGATGCTGTGCAATTTTTTTGCAAGGTTAARTTGAAACCAGTGAGAATTAATTAATAACACTGATATTGGGGGGAAAAATTCATATGCATATCCATTACTGTATATTTCAAAATAAACTTTGCTACACCACACTTAAAAATTGCTATTATAAAAACTCTCTTACCTYGCATTTTTCAGTTGTAAATCTGCTGGTAGCAGTATCCTGATGTGGAAGTCTCTACCCTGGAAAAAACATATTTCATTAATAGGAAAGTCAGAAAACACAAAATATTAGACARTTGTGGGAATGACTCCCCAATAGACCAGCTACTAAGAAAGAAACTTAGTCTTTTTTGTCTTTCAGGAATATTATTCAGAATTTCTTTCTTTAAGGATAATAAGCACCATGAGTGTATAGATACAAGTAATGTTGATTTTAATTCTGAAGTTGAAATATTTTTGACCTTTAATTCACAATGTTCAGTAAAAACTCTTCAGTACATTACCTTTCATAAAGCAAACATAACACCTTACAGGAGAAAAATAAACTTTATCCAAATCTGGACAAAACCAAAATCATAATTTAATYCATGTCATGCTACTGTACATGAAAGTCTGTCTTCAACTCAAGTAAAAGTTAAAACAGATGCCTGTCATAAAAGTAAGCTACACCATAAAGAACCTTGGGCGCTGATCCACAGCATGTTTCAGCAGTTTTACAAASTGTAAACCAAAACAGCCCCTAGTACATATATTTTTTTTTTCCCTGTTATTGCAGCCCACATAGGCCAGCTTCTAAATCCCACCTACTTGTATTTTCAGTCCTTATTGAGGTCCTCTTTCTACCTTCTTATGGGATGATCAAAATAAAACTGAAATAAAGAAAGTCTGTGAAGCCTTGAAGCAAAGGGGGCAGATATCTTAAAACTTTTATTCCAGACCCTGTCCCAGCTCAGCACACCTTGAAGTAGGGAGTACTGGGCCCCCAGTACAAGCAAGGTATGGACATACTGGAGTTAGTCCACTGAGGAGCACTGATTAAGAGCTTGAAGCATCTCTCATACCAGAAGAGTCTGAGGGAGCAGGGACTGGTTAGTCTGGGAAAAAAAAGAACAGTCAGGGAAGGACTAAAGACGGTACAGTCAGATCTGAGTGACACACACTGACAGGATGACAGGTACAATCTGAAATACAAGAAATTTCACCTAAATGAAATGAAAAAAACCCCTCAGGAATAGTTGGGGGAATGGGTCTCAAAGACTAGAACAGGCCATCTAAGAAGTTGCAGAACCCAACTGTAAATCGTTTAAAGCATCTACTTAAGGCAGAGAACCTCCAGAAGTTCCTTCCAACCTCAGTRTCAACTACTTTTTTGACAATGCTAGTAGACACAGCCCATGTCTTTTGCCTCCTACTTAGAGGAATAAAGTCCCACACTATTTCTAAGTTAAAATACACCTGTTCTGAGCTGTGTCCGTGGGATATTTTAACAAGCCACAGCAGCAGTGCCAGTGATGCCAAAGTTGGGTTGGGAGCATCCTCCTCACCCTGCCTCAGGCGCTGTTTTGCCCCTTGCACCGCACTTTCCACATCCCGAGGAACGATGCAGACGCTTCAGCTGAAGCCTCACAAGCAAATGAATGGAAATCGCCCACCATCAGTCACTTATGTCAACTTTTACCACAGGGCATGAACGCGGGCACATTCARCCTTGCCCCCAAACCACTACTGTCAGCATAACAACCCAGCCCAGGAGGCAGCAGGAAGCCATTCTACGGGCAAACCCGCGGTACGGCGGCGGAATCCCCTCAGGGCATGGAAATGGCACTCCCTGATTTACATTCCCCGTGGCTGAGTCGGGAAGCGCTTCCCCCTCAGACCCAGCCGCGGCACTGCAGGAAGCGGTCCCCGTCCCCAGACCCGACGGAGCGGGAAGCATCCCCCCCCTCCGCCTCGGAGTAGCATCCGCCGGCCGGCCAAGCGGCGCCCGGGCCGCGGTACCTGGGCGGTGACAAAGCCCTCGTAGGCGGTGCCGTGGCGGTCCTGCGGCAGCAGCAGCGGGCAGTGCCGGAGCAGAGCCCGCGCTCCCGCCATGATCCCGCCCGGCGCTGCCGCCGCCGCCGCCGCCGCCGTTCGAACGCGAAGCCCCGCCCCCGCCGGCGGGCGGCGCACGCGCCTGAGGGGTGAGGGAGGGAGGGGCGGGACCGTGAGGGGCGGCGCGAGACGCTGAGGCGCGCGCGTGAGGGGGGAAGCGTGTCACTGAGGGGAGGAGCACACCTGAGCGGGGAGCACACCTGAGCGGGGAGCAGAGGGGAGGAGCACACCTGAGGAGGGAGCACACCTGAGCGGGGAGCAGAGGGGAGGAGCACACCTGAGCGGGGAGCGCACCTGAGTGGGGAGCGCACCTGAGGGGGGAACAGAGGGGAGGAGCACACCTGAGCGGGGAGCGCACCTGCGGGATGAGGCGTTTGTCACTGAGGGGAGCGCACCCGAGGAGAGGAACACACGTGATTAGGGAGTACACCTGAGAGGAGGGTTGTGTCGCTGAGGGGAGCACACCTGAGGGGAGGGGAGCGGACCTGAGGGGTGAGGCGCTTGTCACTAAGGGGAGCGCACCCGAGGAGAGGAGCACACCTGAGAGGAGGGTTTTGTCTCTGAGGGGAGCACACCTGAGAAGAGGAACACACCTGAGGGGGGAGCACACCTGAGGGGAGGATCGTGTCGCTGCGGGGAGCACACCTGAGGAGAGGAACACACCCGAGGAGAGGAGCACACCTGAGAGGAGGGTTTTGTCTCTGAGGGGAGCGCACCTGAGGAGAGGAGCACACCTGATTGGGGAGTACACCTGAGGGGAGGATTGTGTTGCTGAGGGGAGCACACCTGAGGAGAGGGGAGCGGACCTGAGGGGTGAGGCGCTTGTCACTGAGGGGAGCGCACCCGAGGAGAGGAGCACACCTGAGGGGGGAGCGCGCCTGAGGAGGGGGGAGCGGACCTGCAGGGTGAAGTGCTTTTCACCGAGGGGAGCGCGCCTGAGGCAAGGAGCACACCTGAAGTAAGGAGCAGGCCTGAGAGGAGGGTTGTGTCGCTGAGGGGAGCACACCTGAGGATGGGGGTTCGGACCTGAGGGGTGAAGCGCTTTTTACTGAGGGGAGCGCATCCGAGGAGAGGAACACACCTGAGGGGGGAGCACACCTGATGGGAGGATTGTGTCGCTGAGGGGACCACACCTGAGGAGAGGAACACACCTGAGGGGGGAGCACACCTGAGGGGAGGATTGTGTCGCTGAGGGTAGCACACCTGAGAAGGGGAGAGCGGACCTGAGGGGTGAGGTGCGTATCACTGAGGGGAGGGAGAGCAGCACACCCGAGGGAGAGCGCAGGGCCCTGAGGGATGCACACCCTSAGGGGAGCCGCGCGCCTGTGCCGAAGGCGGGAAACCGTGAGCGAGACACCCCGCGGCTTCCAGAGCTCTTGAGGGGCGGCTTCCGCAGAASCCCGAGGAGCAGCTTCCAGAACCTCAAGAAATAGCCCTGGTTTCTCCCAAAGCAAGTAGCGGCTCCCGCTACTTTGAGGAGCGGCTTTTCCAGAGCGCTGAAGGAGCATGGCTTCCCTAGAGCAGAGCCGGAGTTTCCTCGTGCTTTAGCACGTCCTGAGGGGACTGGATTGAGTAAGGACTAGCTATTAAGTACGGATAACTAGTAAGTAAGGCTCATAGTAGGCTGGCAGTGTCATGGCGRTTTTCCTGCCGCCCAGGGCAAGGGGTCACTCGATTTATGCATTTTTTTTCCTAGGAGTCACTGCCATAACACTTTCAGGGTCATAAAAGCTTTTCTGCCCTCTCACACAGGTGTTGGGATAAAAACCTTCCTCTCTTTTCTGTGTGGGCTGCTGCCAGGACCTGGTAGCCTCTGAGTGTTTGGGAGAGCCTGAGGAGAGACACTTAGAGAAAACTTAGGCATTTATTGAACATGTTTCAGAAGGCATTAAAACTTCACATATTACTGAAGCTGAGCATCATGCAAGATTCAATTTCTGCCCAAATAGGCATGTTTAAGAAAGAAAACACAGCTTTTTGCCTAATTAGATATATTTGAGAAAGAAAATACGCTTTTATGAAGAGATGAGTAACTCACCACAGCTAAAAGGTGTGTAGAACAATCAACTGTACCTGTGGGACAGGAGGTGGGTTGAAAGAGAAACAAAGWAAACAACACAAACCTTTAAGCCTGCAGCTAAATCCTGTTCGGTTGGCTTAGGAGACCTGTATATGGGAACTGCATGGAAGTAGAAGAGTCAAAAGCAGTCAAACCCTTTGCAGCTTTATGTTATTGTAGAGTCTATTGGAAGTATACTATACAAAGTACTAGGAGGCAATAGATAGGTGAAAGAGCCCCAAGATTTGACATGTAAACTCATCATAGTAAATTTGTCAGGAATATGTGCTAATAAGTGTAYATTCTCATCACTGTTAAACTTTTTTTTATACCTAGGAAGTGTCAGCTCCCCTCAGCGACACTGATGATTTCCAGAYTTCCAGCAAACTACCAAGAGTACCTGAAAAAGACAGGTTCAGTTTTCTGCAAGAATGTTACTCCACTCACCCTTTTCTCCTCCAGAAAACCTTAGACAATGCAAGAAATATGTGTGTCTAAATTCATGCACAAACAGGTTTTAAACACCACTGTTCAACCCCTCTGTAGTTTGCCCCCCTGAAGCTGTTCCTGTAGCCTTTCACTACCCAGCATGGCTCACCACRAGCAATTAATCCAATGCTTCGTAGTAATTTGTATCCCTCATGTTATCTATTAATTTAATTTTGACCAAAACATTTCTCCTCTTGAGCTGTTTTCTCTCAGTATGCATTGCACTAGAAATTGCCTTATTTAATATGAAGTAGCTCTGTACTTTACCACGTCCACTGATTATTTCTTAATTGCATCAAGTGCAAAACTGAAATCAGAGGGGTTTTTTTTTTTGGCCATGTTTACCTGAGTCTCTGGCATTTAAAACATGTCAAATCACTTTAGCCAAGTGCAGTTATGGAGTAATGTATCTAAATAAAAATACTGTAAGATCAGAACCATAAAATATTCTAGTACTGAGGCCCAGAAAACATTAATCATTATCTAACACTGAATATTATGCACAATTTCAAACTTTGTATAAAAATACAATTAGTTGAAGCATCATGTTGCTTTGATCTGGCACACAGACCAGCATTTTTAAAGCAGAAAATATAAAAAACAAGATCAGTGAAAAGCTGGACAGAGCTGCTSCTCAAGGGAAAGGAGTACTGATCTGATCTTTCAGCCACAGGCCACATACACCAATTTAATTACAGTTATTGTTTGCCAGAAGAATTATAATGGARTATGTTATTAATTACTTGTCCATTCAAATATCATATTCAGCCAGTTGAGTCATCAATAAAATCATTACTCCAGTGGCAAAACAAACAGTGTACGGAGCAAAAACTTGAAAACATCAATTTCTGGGCTAAATTTTGTTAGTTAAGTTATCCCACAGTCGGAAAGAAAGTACATTCATCAGTCAGAATGCACATGCAACCACATTGAAATAATGTGGATTTTTAAGAGCTGATTTATTTATTTAAGGATGTTATGAAAGGCAAGAAAATAACAGTGCATTGTTCTCCATCATTTAGTCTCTCCAACATAAAACAATCCATTTAAACCCATTCAAAATGGCTAATACTGTTTTTCATAACTCAGTGTAGTTTTATTCATCTCGCCCCTAAGAACTGACCCTTCCTGTGCATATCCCCACCTTTTTCCACAAATCCCCTGACTGACAGAATCTCATCCTAATCCCACTTCCATTTAGATGTTGCAGAAAAACATTGTAGACCTTGGAGGCAATAAGCAATCATAATGGAAAGATGATAATAATAATATGTTTATGAAATCTGGATTTTTAGAATAGCAAATTGAAAAATAGTATTTCAAGCCACTGAAGGTCAATGTTACTAAGGGCAAAAAGCCATCAATCAAGTCTTCTCAAACTTTTCTAGTTTAGATTATTTTTTTATACAAAGCATCTCTATTTCAGAGAGCAGCACCTCTCTCCTGAGGCAATTCCTCATCTACCTACTGGTCACACAATCTGCTGTTTTAAACACTAATTGTTTGCAAGAAAAAATATACTAAATATTTTTCTAGCATGGCTTTATCTTTTAAGCAGATGTAAAAAACAGGTAACAACTTCACATGCCTCTCCACAGTTGAAAAATTCCAGCCCCTAGCTTGTACACATAGAAAACCTCTGAAACTTAACTAGAGGTCCTAGGAAAAAAAAATACTCCAACCATGTCCTCAGCTACTTAAGGAGTTGTCCTCTCTTGAGCTGTTTAAAAGCACACCAACAGCCATTTTTGGGACTAGCTGAAATTTTCTGTGACTAAAGCAGCAGGCCATGGTTATYATCTGGAAAGGGCTTTATTGGACTGATGCTCCCCTGAAATGTTCCCTGCTGTTGTCCAAGACAATTGTGCTCTCCCCATCACCTTGTTCCTGGAGTTCCTGGCCCTGCAGCCTCTTCTCCCTTATGCCCTTGTCCAATATGCCAGTTTGTTGACCAAAAGCTAATGTTTTGGGKTTTTTTTTWAATTCATTTTTAAGCTGTAGTGGCTTGCTGAAGCTGTGACACAAGCACTAGAGGTGACACAAAGAAATTACCAGGAGGGCACATCTACAAGCCAAAGCAAACCACAAGCTTTTTGGAAACAMGATGTTAGATTAGACAGTGGAAAAGCACACAGGTGAGTACCACTAGGTTATTTTACCACCATCCTCCCAAGTCACAGCCTGTTTCTGGCACTGTTTTCACAGACTCTGCTTCCTTTGCTTATCATTGAAGTGATAGGACAAGGGAGAATGGCTTCACAGTGAGACAGAGCGGRTTTAGATTAGACATTAGGAAGAAATTCTTCCCTGTGAGGGTGGTGAGGCATTGGCAYAGGTTGCCCAGAGAAGCTGTGGCTGCCCATCCCTCCGATTTTTTAAGGCCAGTTTGGACTGGGCTTGGAGCAACCTGAGATGGTGGAAGGTGTCCCTGCCTGTGGCAGRGGTTGGAACTAGATGGTATTTAAGGTTTCTTTCAACCTAAACGATTCTATTTGCATGGAGTT